CTAAGTTGTTGTTTCTCATGTTTCTATTTATATTATATCTATATTGTTACTTTTTCTTTGCAAATTGGCTCAGCCGTTGAAATAAATAAATAAATAAAATCTACTACAAAATGGACTAACAAATTTTCTTTCTCATCCAATCGATGGCTTTATTTTCAACCCAATGAAATTGAGTTACAACGTGCACTGCACTCAACAGGAGAAGTACCAACAAACAAGTTAAAAAACATCTAGTTTGATCAAAAATGGTTTTTGTTGATTAATTTTTTTATTCAGTGCTTATAATACAATCTCCACTGAAAATGCAGAACCCTTTGTTTCACCTGGTTGTCTAAGTTATTTATGTAAGCCCGAATGTAATTGCAAAGAAATTTTTAAAATACCTACATACCACCTCTAGAGGTAGAAATATATTTTTGGTGAATTATATAATGCTTGTTGAAGATTGTCGTCACGCCAAAATTTACAAATTAAAGTCGGAGCGATATAGTCACAAGCTGATATTTGATAGTGAAAAGTGTCATGTCATGTCAAATTAATATGCCGGCTCAGCATAAGAAGAATCGTTCCTAACCAAAAACTGAAATTCATTTGCTTGTAGTTACGTACACATTTATTACAACTATGGGTCAAAAACTTTAATTTTTTAATATTTCTTAAAAGAACCTTTTTGGATTATCACAATTTGGACGTATGTGTTTTTAGTTTAGGTTTTTGTTTGTTTTGTATCTACTTTTAAAGACTACAATATCCTAAAATTCTAAATTTTAAGAAATGGACATTATATTTGAAAATTACATCGTTTGCAAGTTGAACAGTTGAATAACTCTGCACGGAGAAAGACACAATATAACAATGAAGAAGACTAAGGAAGGTAAACGAAGAAAGCTAAAGCTAAATCAAATGTAACTTATCGGCTTTGAAAGAAACTCTAAAAACCATGGATATTGGACTTGAATCATCAAAATTAATAAGAATTTTAGATTTTCGCAATAAAAAGGACTGTAACCGAAGATTTTTTGTGAACAGCCACAGAGAGAGAAATATAGTGAAAATTACATATCAAAATTTAGAAAAATGCTATTTTTATACGAAACGGTTGAAATTATTGGCAAAATGAGTTTATAAAGTGTCAAGAGTAAAAGGAGCTGTTTAATGAATTTAATTTAGTGGATTCCTCCTGCGTCGTTTGTTGTTGAATCCAACTTGCTGAAGTTTCGCCAACCATCCTGTTGACTTCTTCAGAGCTTAACTGAAACGGTTTCAGATCTGATCAAGCCGAAGTGTTTTAAATGGTAGCCTGTGGAAGATTCTTTGAAAAGAAATCTTTAATATTGGTACTAATAAGAATATATTCATTGATTCTTCTTGACTATAACTTCAAATTTCAAATCTCGTATTCAACCAACGAGAGGCAGCGACGTTCAGCATGGCCGCTGACAGTTCGTCGATCCGATGGACGCGTTCTTTTTTAACAGTGTTTCATCAGAGACCTCGTTAAATTTTCGATAAAAAAAAGTTCAAATGCGCGGTATATAATGAAAAATGAAAAATTGATAGCGGCGCTCGTTTATCGGCGAACTTTCTCACTTACCCAAACGATAATGGCCCATACGTAAGTCTATATTATTATCCCGTCAACGAAACCCACGCGCCATATACGGAATGTTTTCTTAACTGTGGATTTTCCCACAACGCACCAAATTGTCGGAAGGGACATAATAAAAACACAAGGATGAGCGTTATAAAAATATATTTTCTCTCCGAAAGTAAACCGACGCCGTGTCTACAATTTCGTAGACCCGTTTCAAGGCCGCGACCTGTGATAAAAATACGCCTAGTTACCATGTCTTTGTCTTCAGTTACATCAGATTTCACGGATTTTCCAATAATTGTACCGATTTGACTGATTTTGAAAATTTTTTTTGGTTATGTGGAAATTTTATGTATTCCGCAGTAATTAAAATATGTACTTCTCTAGTAAGTATAACCCTTTTGCTATTGTAAATAATCTCAATAGACATGTTCTATAAACTCATGTCCAAACGTATGCATCTAAAACCATGTCCTCACTAAGTGTTTAGAGTAAAAAATACCTTGAAAAATAAAAAATCGGTAATACTATTTACACATCTCTAGGATTCCTCCTGCACTCCTCCAGAGCATAACTGAACCTGGTTTCTATTTTATTTTGTACCTGTTGCTGCCTAAAGCAGGAACGATCAAATTCAATACCTTTTAGTTTTTGAACATGCTGAATTCAAAACTACTAACAGCAGTGTTGATATTTTGGTAACCTTTCTCTGATACACTGCTAAAGTTAGTTAAAGTAAAGTAAAAGTTTTTTTTATTAATAGTGGTAAATACAACATTGATGTTGGCATTTTTGAATTTTGCAAAAATAAACATCTACTCTATCTAAAAAATGCTAATATGTCATTAAATATCAATTTTCGATAGCTTTTTTCAAGCTAATTGCGTTGCGTTTTAGCTGTGACTTTTAATTGCTTCCTCGGCAATTTTTATAAATTACAGTTGGCAACTACAAGGGTAAGTATTGTGCTTAGAATTTTCAGGTTATAAGAAGATGGTTCTTCATTTATCTGATTTTCTCCAATTTGGCTATAATTATAATTTTTACATTGACTCATATTAATCCGAAAAAAATTACTTGGTTTGAATTGAAGACGTTATGAACGAAACATATATACATAATATGCAGCATGTGCTAGATTAAAGTGACTCATGGTCACGTCTTAATAAAGTTTTTGGTCCAAAGTGTCCACTTTATTGTAGAATTTGCAGCAGAAGAGAAATAAAAAAAAAGAAACAAAACGTTTTGAAAATATTTGTGATTTATAAAATTTAAATTCATTGATTTAGCATTTTTAATATTATTACTATTATTTGTTACGTAAATAGTTCTCTAATAACTCCAGAATACAAAAATTCCGCATACAACCCCAAAAATTAATTTTCAAAATCGGTTACTCTTTTAACTCTTTTAAAATAGAAATTCTTTAATCCCTAAACAAACCTAGTTTCCGCAGAAAGTCGATAGAAAATATAAAAAATTATGAAATTTATAATTAATGATTTTTGAAAATATTAAGAGTATTATTATTATTTTTACTTTAATAGTTTTTTACTTACTACGGAATACAAAAATTTACCGAACTTTTCTTATTTTAATCGCTTTTTTATTACGGCCGACTACAAAAGTTTGCCATATAACCTAAAAATTATTTCTTGTATTATCAGTAGAATCGCAAATCACAATGTATTTCTAATATTATGGTTAGTGACAGTATGCGATTAAGTAACTATTTATAAGTTATTTTGACATATTTTGACAACACTTGATGAATGCAACAATTTTCCACATAACCTAAAAAATATATTTGAAAATCGGTGAAATCTGGAAAATCATTTCGAAATTTGTGAAATCCGTGAAATTTTATGAGAAACTTTTTGATTTTGTGAAATAAAACAAAAACAAACCACAAAAATCCTATTTCTATACTACCTTCATGAGATAAAAAGTAAATATATTTTTAAGATCGAAATATTGATGAGATTCTGAAGGTAAACATAAAATAAACATAAACATAAACCCGAGCGTAAACATACAAGTTACTCTTAGGCGAGATTAAATTTATCACTAATTGACGGAACTATAAAGACACAGCAGTGAAAAAATCACCCAGTACATACACCTAAAAAGTCATGGCATGGGGCAAGACGCATTATAAACAGTTATTGTTCTCATGGACGGATAAATGACAAAACGGTATACACCAGGTGTCCCACGGACGATGGAACATTTTGACGATGTTTTATTGGGAAAACGAGACCCAGCACTTTTGCGGAAAATTGGTCACTTCGGTTTTCGCGAGGGGCAAATCACCCTCCAAAATCGGTACACCAGAATTCACCGGTTTCTACAAAGATTTCACAGGTTTTGAAAAATACTTCTTAGGTTACGCGGAAAACTTTTGTATTCCATCAAAATTTAAAAAAATATTAAGTAAAAATAGTAAATAGAAAACACAATTAAAACCTTTTCTCAAAAAGTGCTAAGGAGTATTGTAAGTGTCAGTGTTAAATTAAGAAATATAAATTTCAGCAACTCAGCATAAAAATATTTTCCGTTTTTTTTTCAAAAGTTTGTTTGATGCGTTTTTTTAACTTCAATTAAGTAGGGTTATTCCCCTCTCAATGAATAAACATGCTTAAATAATTTTCTCTGTATAAAACAGCCAAATAAAAAAATAAAAAGAGAAATCTGGTGTACCAATTTTGGATGGCAATATTTTATTTATTTACTATAATTTTCTGTTTTTTTAAATGTCAAAATAATTAGATTTTGTAAACATCGACCAACTTATTACTTTTAAGACAACTTATATTCGAAGTACTGGCGAATTGTGGCCAAAATTTCAACTTTCTAAATATTCAACTAATTTTTTTGCAATTTGGAAACGGACACTGTGTTATTATATTAGAGATAAAATGTGTGATTAATTTGTAATTTCAAATTTGGAATGTCATTTTTCCATGGAATGTAACAAGTCGCTAAATTGCTTGACAATTACTCTTACACTCGTAAGAAGCTGCGCAGAATGCACTGCGCATTAACGAAAAAAAAAATTTTAAAAATACGCTTAGTGATATGAATAGATAGACCCACTAGATAAAATTAATTTTAACTGGTTAATTAATAATGAACGTAATATCAAAGAATTTAGCGAACTAATTAATTAATTACTAAAAATCAGTCTAATTAGTGTGATAGTTAGTCCACGGTTTATTCTAGTTTGGACAAAAGCACCCCGAAATGTATCATGGGGACCTCTCCCCGAGTTTAATGAAATTTGAAGTTGTATTAGTTATTTTTTTAAATATATATATATATATATATATATATATATATATATATATATATATATATATATATATATATATATATATATATATTTATTTATTTACATTAGGCTTTCTAAATATTGGTTCTCAAAATTAAAAAAAAAAGTTCCATGAGAAGAAAAAAAAAATACTTATTGAACAAAATTACATAAAGTATAATAAAAAAATCACTAACCTTGCGTTTTTAAGGTTTTCAAAAAGTCGACGCTTTAACGTTAAAACTTGGGACCAGATAAATTTATTTTTACACAAATTCTCAAACATATACAAGTTAATTTTCACAATATAGCAATCAGAAGGAGGTGGGGAGAATGTTGGAATCCTCATCAGAACTAGAATAAAGAAGAAGTAGAAGAAGAAGAAAAGGAGAAAAATAAGAATTCATACTATAAAAAGTATAAATGAAAAACGTATTCGTATTCTACTTACATGGTCTGGAATGTTTGAAAACTAATAATTTTTTGTGTTTCCTTCTTGGAGACTCTGATAGTAACCAACGAAAATTACACTAAAGTAAAACGCTCTCTATAGCAACGGTAGATTGTCACATTTTTACTATACTTTATGTCATTTTATTTTTTTTTTTCAAATCTGGACAGGCGATATTTCTTCTTCTTTTAAATAAAAAAAAATTTATTAACTTCGGACGAAGTCAATGCGTTAAACAATCGATATTATTTCGATTGTGGAACTAAGACACGATTTTAAAGGCATCTTATTGATAATAAACGATCGGATCGATGGTTTGCACTACAAATCTGTCACGGGTCCGGATAAAATCACCCGGGGGGCCGTAGTTACGGAAGAAGCCGCGGAAATGCTGTCCACGGACGCTTTTCCATCTTCGGATGCATCCGACGGGCTCAATTCGCTTCGACGCAGCATGCCCGACAACCTTAAACAAGAAAATATGATCCGTTCAAACCTCTCCAACATTCACTGGAAACATTAAATATAAACCAGATGATTTATTAATGACAGGGGATGTAAAAACTATTCTTAAATCTACTAATAATATAACTAAAAAAAGAAAAGGGTAAAACTTTTCAGTATGAATAACCCGATGCCACTCGAAGTTGCCTAAGTATCGCCTGGAGACCATCATAATATAAATCACACTGCGATGACAATTTGTTGAATTTAACACACATATTGTTAACAGGGTGTTCAAAATGGATATTGGATCTGGATAATTGCGGGAAGAAAGTTGATTGATATCTCACTTCCAGCGGCGGCACATGAAACCGTATTGTTCCAGAAGAAGCGGATAATCGAGAAATGATACAGATTTACATGTCTCTGCTCAGAGGCAGTACAGCAAATCGTTTCAGTAGAAGATCATGATCCTCCACCATGAACTCAGATGCAGTACAGCGAATCGTTTCAGTAGAAGATCATGAAACTCCTCCATGATCATTAGATACTACTTTTTAACCTTTTCTGCACACCCTCAGTGGAATGGAGCGTGGTAGTCATAGTCGGACCTAGATCTAACGTAACAGTAAAATAATATTTTAATAGTGGATGAGCTAGAAAATGCCTGCAATTTTTTATTACGAAGCCTAAAATTTACATTGCACTGGAAACCATTTTATTAATGTGAGATACAAAAGAGTTTGGTTAAATAAAATCCCCAGATCCTTGTGGCAAGTTAAGTCAGGATAGTACCAAATATCACTGAATGACCATATTGACATTGGCCTGGATGTGATGGAGTGATATAGTTTTAGGTCATCTGTATACACAAGCTTGTAGTAGATGGTCAAATATATGAGATTATCTAGGAATATATTAAATAGAAGTGGTCCAGGGTTAGAAACCTGAGGCACACCAGATGTTGGAACAAAAGGAACTGATCTAAAGCGCTCATTCACAACGAACTGTCGACGGTGCAGCAGATAGCACCTCAACACTGAAATCAGCGTATGGGTAAGTGATGATCTATCTGGTCAAACGCTTTGTGGAAGTCAGTGTATATAATGTCAACTTGACATTGCTTTTTCAGGGAGCTATAGATATAAAAGACAGGGAACATAAATTGGTAATACATTATCTTTTCGCGGAAAAACCATGTTGTTGCGTAGAAAGTTTATTTCGAAAACTTGATATGCCGCCAGGACGAGCATTCTTTTTGTTTTTGAGTGCTTTGCTTGCTGATAAGACATCCTGGATCTTCTCTAACGTAATAGTTATTTTTTTTTCTTTCATTTTTCTCGTATCTCTTAATGACTTAAATTTAAAAAAAGTATTTTGTATCGACTTATTTTCATTTTTAAGACATCAAATACAGTGTGTTCAAGATGATAATGATTGTGTATCATGAGAATATGAGAAACAATAAGAAATACGAAGATGGTTAAATTAGAAAAAAGTTGCAAATTTTAAAGGTCACTTTCTGGTTGTCAATTTTTTAGTTCTACAAGATAGCGTGAACAGATTTATAGTCCGATGTTTCGCTTCTGCGAAATCATAGTCAACTTTGTATTACGAATACAACGATGTACGACGAAAGGGTTTTGGTGCAGTAGGTGCTGACTTGATAAATAATTAAAAATAAGATGAAATAATAAACAATAAATAGGTAGATCACGTCACATGTTAATTCATTAAACAAATTAGTAAAAAAGAACTTCCTACAAAAAAAAAGAATATTCAAACCGATAACACCTTGTAACTGTCGAATTTAAAACATTTCTTAACATCTTGTTCAAGGACTAGTCTTCTATGTTGACCATCAGACTGAAAAACTCGCTGGTAAACAATTTTTGCGATATCGCCATATAAAAACATTGACTGGAGTGAGGTTCAGCGAAAAAGGGGGCCATAAAATTGCTGAATCCTAGCCATTTTTTTGGAAATCTGTCCGATAGGTACTCGCGTATGATTTCTCAGATTTTGAATTCTGCATGTACGGCGTTCTGGTATTTTATACTGACAAAGCGGTGTTGCCGTGGCTAAGTAACTAATAAAAACAAAATTTTGAAATTTTGAGGAATTACAAAGAAATAATTTTGAATCATTGGGTTCAGTGAATATATAACGAAAACCAAATTAAAAATCCCACCAATAAAATGTCTTTAATTTGTCAATAGCATTTGTCAAAATTGGTTCCGGTGGAAAGTGCTGAAAACTTCACAGCGAAATATGTTAGATAAATAAGAAAGACTTGACGCGTGATTTACCTCTACTTTTAACTATTGTGACATTTTATGTTGTCCACGCTTAGGTAAAACTGAAAAAGTGCAAAAAACAGTTTACGGTTTATTTGTATCAAGGGAAGAGTGGAGAGAGGACAGAGTTGGCTCCTGCGATGGACTTGTCTGGTACACGGGCGGTGCTGGAGCGTACCGCGAAACAACGGAATCGAGCTTGTCGGTCCCTCTGGGTCAGTACTGCACTGTATTTCAGGCGGAAATTTGATGGCTATATTGATGGAGGCCAACCACGGAAGCAGGAGAGTATGCTTCTGCTCTGATAGTAGGGCTGCACTTATGGCGCTGAAGTCAGTCAGTGATAAAGGAGTGCAAAGGGGTACTGAGGAAAGTGGCCGAGGAGAGGAAAGTCACGTTGATCTGGGTCCCGGGTCACATGAGGCAACAATGAGAATGAAGCAGCGGACGCCTTAGCCAGGGAGGGCTCTTCCCATAGGCATATGGGAACAGAGCTCCGCTTGGGGATCGCCCCGTGTGTGAGGCGGGGAGCTCTTGAAGCCTGAGTGAGAAAACGATCCGGGGTGGACTGGAGAGTTGCTCCGGGATTGAGGCAGGCGAGGCTATGATGGATGGACCCGCCCTCCCTCCGACCAAGGAGCTGCTTAGACTGATCAGAAGGGAGTGTAGAGCTCTAACAAGGGCCTACACAGGACATTGCAGGCTTAGAAGACATCTTTGCTTGCTATGCAGCAGGATCTGCTCCCTGAGTGCCCTGCTTTGACATGGGCAAGATTTGGAGTCTTCGGACTCAGTGCACGGTGTGGGACCAAAGAAGGTGCTGACCTACTATAGGAGGGGCGGCATTCCGGATGCCCTCTAGCGCGGTCTGGAGGCGCAATGGGCCCATCTGGTGGCGCCCCCTTTTAATACCAATACCAATAACAATATGTTAAAAGAAAATACGATCCAGTCACACACAAACTGCATATTATTTTTTAGTAACAGTCCATCTTACTTGGAAAATAAAACAATATATAGAACAAATGTTCACAGCTTGAACCTTATATTTTTCTGGTCTTATCCCTCGATCACCACACAAGACGTCTCTTTTCCTACAACATTTATAGACTTTATAATTCCGTTCGGTTTCAAGCCTATTTTTTGAACTTTGAAATTTGAACCATTCTCATAATTGCTTTCATTCCCTATTTTGCAATTTACATCTTTTAATGGTATTTATTGCATTATATAGTATATCGAAATATAATTTGCCACTAATTAATAATAAAAAAAGAGACGCATAGAATTTTATTTTTTTAACAACCTTTCCAACCCTTTATTTTGTCTGTATAATATTTACTTACGTATAACTGTACTTACTCTAAAATTTTTAGATCTGCCTCCTCCTTTTTCGCCCTGGTGTCTTGCAGTTCCCGCCTCAACTCGAGCGCCTCCCTTTCCAGCTCCAACACCTGTTGGGCCGCTTTTATTTTTTCGTCCACGCTAGAAGACGCGTTGGCTGCCTCCTCTGCCCTGTAACGGTTCATTTCGATACATACAGGGTGATACTGAACCCCACTCTCATAAGTAGATATTCTGTTTCGATCGAAAAAATATTAATGCTGTGCAAGATCGATATATGACGTATCGTGAAGTAAAAGCATCTTTGGCCTTTACTATGACCAGCTTCAATAAGATATTACATGAACATGTCAACATGTCAATAAATCTGGTTTACTATTTACAAAACTTCTGAATTTCTTCTGCGTCGGTTGTTGTTGATCAGTTCGCCAATCATCCTGTTGGCTTCTTCAAAGTTTAACTGAAACGGTTTCAGTTCGCCAATCATCGTGTTGGCTTCTTCAGAGCTTAACTGAAACGGTTTCAGTTCTCCAATCATCCTCTTGCTTCTTCAAAGCTTAACTGAAACGGTTTCAGTTCGCCAATTATCAATTTGACTTCTTCAGAGCTTAACTGAAACGGTTTCAGTTCGCCAATCATCGTGTTGGCTTCTTCAAAGCTTAGCTGAAACGATTTCAGTTCGACAATCATCCTGTTGACTTCTTCAGAGCTTAACTGAAACGGTTTCAGTTCTCCAATCATCCTCTTGCTTCTTCAAAGCTTAACTGAAACGGTTTCAGTTCGACAACCATACTGTTGACTTCTTCAGAGCTTTACTGATACGGTTTCAGTTCGCCAATCCTCCTGTTGGCTTCTTCAGAGCTTACAGTTTCAGTCCGTCAGTCATCCTGTCGACTTCTTTAGAACTCAACTGAAGCAAGTTCGATTCATCAACAACCGATGCAGGAGGAATCCAGGAGTTTTGTAAATAGTATTACAGGGGCTTGTGGCAGTTTCTTTGAAAAATTAAAACCTGGTTTGTGCAAGAGGTAAAAGTAAAATATATTAGCAATACAGCACCTATACAAAGACAAGAAACAGGACGAAGGAAGTTTAACTCAGTAAAGATAGAAGAATGCCCAAAATACTTCAAAAAGACTGTAGAAAATTAGTAACTCTTTAGAGTGCGTTAATCAAACTCTTGTCCAAAATTCTGAGCATATTGTTAAGCCTGAAAATCTCTTGTTCTTTCTACAAGATAGATTCTGTTTTTAGTCTTAAGGGGAAAGATAACTCTCAAAAACTACCCCCAGTGCTATATCAAATATTAAAAAAAACCAAGAATTTAGTGCAAGAGCCTATGAAGATCTGTCTCCACAAAGATATAAACTACTCACAGGTACTGAATTTTAATACGGACATAGACAGGTCTGGTCTGCCAACGGTAAAATATTTTATTTGATCGAGAAGAAGCAGAAGATCCATTTGCCGCTTCCAAATAGTGCCTGAGCATGCCCACGTATTTATTATTCCGATAGTAGTATGATTTGCACTTGACATAGAAACTTATGGTTTATTTCATATAAATCCGCTTACTTGAACATATCGCAGTTATCTTTATAAATTCTACTTTCCTCTGGATTTTTTTAAAGAATTTTTTTTAACGCCATGTTATACCTAGTTCTCTTCCTGTACTTACTTATTTCTAATGTTGTAACAGTTGGCATAATAGCTGTGTTATCGCTATCTGAATTTAGATCTAATCCCGTTTTTTTTTCTGTTTTTTTCGGTTTATTTGGCTTATTTTGCTTTTAAATTTATGAGAGGATTCATTTATGCTGAACTATATTTGCTTGACCGAAAAGCCATGTTTTTTTACTCTTTTGATTGGACGTCTTCCAACTTGCTTATGCTTTTTTGCATGTAAATTGCTTATTATTGTTGAGTTTTTTAATTGTTTAGTATACGCATGCCTAGCGAGAGCCTCGCTTCTTTGCTCATTGAAATGTAAGATCTAAGATAAGATACTTGAATGTCTTGACTGTATGGAAAACATCCTTACCGCACTTGTTTCTCAACTTGATTTTTCTGTGTTTGGTGGAGATTTCAATGTTGATCTGTTAAAAACTAATACTGCCGCCGCTTATTTTCGATTTTCAAATACTCTTACCAACTTCGGCATCACAGAGCCCACTCGGGTTACTAGTTCGCTTCTTGATGTACTAGTCACCTCTAATTAATCTATATGTGACAATATTGAAGTTAATGATATGAGTGATATTTGAAGATCACTGTATTAGCTATTATCTTGATTCGGGTTTAAAGTCCGTCGTCGGTTGGAATTACTTCCTAACGTTTCGCTAGCACGAGTCGCGAGCTTCTTCAGAGGTCCTTCCATCTCCGATGTTGGACGTAGACAGTCTAAGACGTTATTAGAAAAGCGTTTTTTGCAAATTTATGGTAAGTGGGTGTTCGTGAAACCAGTTGGTTATTGCGCACAGATCTCTCTCTATTTGCAATTATATTTATCTTTTGTTTCTAGTGAAGCTTCAAGTACTGCTAGTAAAATAATGGTTCTAAAATTAAAGGGATGAAATTGTAAGAAACGCCTCTTTTAAGATTACGCTAAATGATCAGATTATCTCTCCTTCTTCGGACGTGTGCAAAAATTTAGGATTATGGTTTGACGGTGACTTGCGGTTTTCAAAACCTTTTATCTCAGTGTTGCAAACAAAGTCCTTCTTAAAGTTGAGCCCATTGTATATTCATAAACATCTTCTCTGTAAGGAAATGAAACTTAAATTCTGTGATATGTTAGTTTTGTCCCATGCCGTTTATTGCAGTATCGTCTTTTGGCCAGTTTTACTAAATCGAGATAAGGAAAGACTCTAACGACTTCAGAATGCTTGTATTCGTTTTAGTTTTAATCTCAGCAAGCATGACCATATTTCCCGGCGATTTACCTTTTTGCTAAACTCTAATAAGACTCCCTCTTACTTGTTTAATAAACTTTGCAGAGGAAATGAAATTCATAATCGAGACACCCGTCATTGTTTGAGATATTGCGTTCCTAGACACACTTCGGTAACTTTCCAGTGATCTTTTAGCTATAACGCGGTTAAATTATTTTTTCTACTCCCGTCCGTAAATTACCTAATTACACACCGATCTAGCATGCGGGAGCCGTCACTTTAGTTCCCCATGGATCCGAGCCACTTCGGACATTTCCGGGATTTTACCGCACGGGTTTAGGAGCATTCGGATCTTTTCGGAAATATTTCGCACGCCTTGAATTGTGACGTTTGTCAATTCTGTCAGTGAATGTATTCGTGTTGTTTTGCAAAAATGTACCCAAAAACCAATACACAGTAGACTAGTCGGTAAGTAAAGTGACACTTATAATTTAAGTTTCCCACAGAAAGTTTACATACCGTTAGCATGAAATTTCGTGGTTTTTACAGTTTTTAAAAGTTTAAAAGTTTTTAAAAGTTAAATAAACAACATAACATTTTAAAATTGTATTTATTCCGTTGTTTATATGACATATCCAATAATACATCTCTCTCTCTCTTTCTCTGACTAACGTACACAGTTAAAAAGAGAAAACAATAGCAGAACCGATCGGAACGAAAAATAAATAGGTTTGATGGCAACTAGTAAATATTTGTTAAATTGTGGTTTTTTCGTGACGGTCGTAGAAAAAGTATAGTATATATACTAATAATATATATGCTAATAATATAATAATATATACTAATTTTCTATTCCCATCTGTAAAATACCTAATTAACCACCGATCTAGCGTGCGGGAAGCGTCACTTTACCACGTCAGTTTCGTTTCCCATGTTCTCGGAGATATTTCCCACGCCTTGAATTGTGACATTTGTCAATTCTGACGGTCATGTCAGTGAATGTATTCGTGTTGTTTTGCGAAAATGTACCCAAAAACTAACGGTCGTAGAAAAAGTATAGTATGCAACTCGTTCGGTAAACTTTTTAAGTCACTCGTTTATTAAACACTCGCTCCGCTCGCGTCAAATAAACTCGTGAGTCAAATTCCGTTTACCGCACTTGTTACATAATATACTATTACCGCACTTATTCTGGTATAATCTCCCTTCCCACAATAAAGTCCTTCAAAATAGCGTTAATATTGTGTATTAGGCCCGACAGTATCTAGTAAAAGCGTATGAGTTTATGATGTGCGTTTATTTCTTGGATTTACGATGTATATACGGGCGTTGGTCCGTTGTCTTGGTTCTTGTGCCTACATGGAAGAGCGCATTTTGCGAATGTCGCCACTAACAACTTACAACTTATTTAATATTAAACACGTATTTTTAAATTACGCCCTTAAGCTTAAGCTTAAGTAAAACCAAGATATTTGGAATACAATAAAGTATTAGAAAAGTATTTATATTTCAGAAAATTATATAGGTATTTGGTTCGGACTGCGTTGGCTTTTACTTGATGAAAATCCCTTTAACATAAATTAAATTAGAGCAAAAAACGTTCAGATTTTCACAGTTCTAATTTAATTTAATTTGAGCTATTTGGTTGTTTATAATCTACTATAAGGATCAATGAATAAAAAAAAAACAAAGAATTATCGTTAAAATTAGATAATCCTTTCTCTTTTCTTCGCCCCGCAGCAAGAGAAAATATTATTTAACATCAAAATGGAATACGAGCAGCGGGGCAATGTTATCGTGGACCTACCGCCATATTACATTTTCCCTCGGCGATGCTGTCGCGTTCGATAGCACAAGAACATGTCTTATCGCTGGATATATACTTTCACTCCCCCTAGACGGACCCTGGTTTTGTCAACAGGACGATTATTGTGCGGAGCGCAAAAATTCGCTATCGAAATTTTTAAAACCGGCAAAAGTAGGGTCCATTAGGTCCATTAGAGGATGGAGAGTAGAGAAATACATGTAAGAGGAAACGAGGCTATTTTGGAATAGTGGTTTCATAAAAATTGCACAAAATTTATATGTTGATTATTCAGTTTAACATAAATAATTCGTCTTAGAATTACATATACAGGGTTATGGACGAATAACTTGTGGTAAAAACCCGAAATGTTGGTTGCTTATATAAGCGAATATGAGCTATATATGTAAAAGATTTTAGGCCATAGATTCGTTTTTTTAATGGAACACCCTGCATAGTTTTATATTTTTAGATTCTGCGAAACATTTTGGAAATTTTTCATGTAACATATATTTTGAACATTTTCGGAGATAAAAAATACTTTTTAAGAAATTTGGCATCAAACAACCCGAAATAAAATAATTTTTTATCATAACATAGTAGGAGAATTAACTTATCGCCTAAATAGAAAAATCTGGATACTTAAAATCTCCGTGGCAAATAGGAAAATTTACCACCAACCAACATACTGTGGGACCCATTACAAAAAAGGGCTAAGAAAAATTCATCACTGGTCCTACAACTCCGGAATTGCTACACTGGGAAACTGCGTATTAATGCTGCTTAATTAATTCAGGGATTTAATTCACTGCACAAAATTCCTAAAAAACCCAGATGAAAAATTCTTACAGAAACATTAGAGTTTCTGATATCTTCTTATCTTCTGAGATACCATGAATAGACACGAATTCTTTAAAACACACTTGTATATCACTGACTACACCAACTTTCCGAACCAAAACTCGATAAACAAATGAAGCAATACAGATATGAGACCTCCTAAATAGGCATTTTGATTATCGCTGTCCCCTAGCAGTTCAATTTTCCAATTATTCTCTTGCGTTCATTATTGGTAACTGTTTTCTTTCTTTTGCCGGTGCGGCACATATTCCACTTTACTTTTTAATGCAATGGTAGAGTTTTTCTTCTAAAACAACAAGAAATTCGAATTCTGTACCTTCAAATCTATCGAACGACTTGTTTACTTTATTTACCTCAAAAAAGGCGATGACGGTATTTTCCACCCGTACGCATCATTGAACCCGCTGCTCTCCAAGTGCATCTCAGCGAAATTTTCCATTGTAGGAAAAACATACTGTCTATTCATCTTCTGGCTCTCTATCTAAATCGAATTCCGGAGCAAGTTTTTCTGAGGAATTTGAAATATTTAACTTTGCGTTAGACTCACTACCTGGTTCTAGGTCTTCTGATTTTTGCTTTCTTTTTCCTCTCTGGCCTCCTCTTTTTGGTTTTTCGGCTTTCTTAATAGTCTCATGCAAAGTTAATTTGGTTATATTGGTTATTTAATGGTTTTGTCATTGCTTCCTCCTCAAGTTCTCCTTTTATATGGAGAACTAAAGACAATCGTTGATTTTGTGGCACCGGTGAAATATCAGAAGAGATTACAAGCAAACCAGAGTCACATCCTAGCTGCTCTATTGTTGAGACATTCTTTAAAGATGGACCCGATATTCCCTGTTCTGTAGATTGTTCTACTTCGGTTGCTGCTTCATAGCATAATTTTAAAACGCCTGATGATTCGCCTTCATCACCGTTGGCCGCTCTTTTGCTGATACGCCTTACCAAACAATTCGACAATGTCATACGTAGTCAAATGCTTATTGTTTTTACGAAGCCATATGGTTACCTCCTCAGTATGGTTTTAAAGGTACCATAAATGAATTGTGCAAAGGCTGAACCTAGTGGGTACAATAAGTTGATAACGACAAGAGGGTTACGTCATTATCACTTGTCGTGTCAATAATATCTCGGTTTTTTGTATAGCTATAATGCCCGTCTGTAAATAAATAAGTTTCAATCCATCCAAACGGACATGCTTTGCCTATTCAACGTAGAAGTGCTCCTCTTATTAAAGTATCTGTCATCTTTTTCCTTCCAAAAATAATCGTTGATGACACAAATATACCAGCTCGGCTCGTACTTGCTACTACTCTAATAAGAGCACCTCTTTCCGCGAAATCATTGCGACAATTTGCTTGTTACTGCGTCTAGCAATAATTTTTGGTAATTTTCTTTAAACCACGAGAATACCTGTTTCGTCCACATTGAAAAAATAATTGCTTGCATCCATAAGCTCTTCTGTAAAGGCAAGGGCTCTTGCGAATGACGTACCGATCGGCTTCCGCATGGAAAGAATATTTTTGTTTCTCTCTCTCTTTAGCCAATATCGGCCGGCTGCATTCGAATTAAATGGATTTAGAATGCTTTTTCTAACAGCTAATTGGTAAGCTAACCTTATATTCATTTGGCTTAATCCGTATAAATTAGACTACATTTTAAGCGCATATTTTGAGACCAACATGTTCAGTTGGTGTGTTCACTCTGTATATTTTCTGTATACTGCAAAAAATGCGCAAGAAAAAATTATGTTGGAGTACTCGAAATTTGTTCCATATTTTTCACTGTCCGAGTTAAATGAATTTTTTGTTTAGTCCCTTGCGTTTTGATGTTGATTTTTTTTAATTTTTAATTAACATGGTGACTTTTACGTTTACTTTGTCAACAATTCATAAATAGTAGGATGTAGCAATTTCATTTTATAAATAACCATAAAATTGAAAATTTGAAAACAATAAATTTATTATAAGATTTTTTAGTCTTCTTTTAGCAAAAAATGGTCTGTTACATTATTTCTAAAGATTCGATAAAGGCACAGAAAAAAATTGTTGAAAGAAGGCTGAGCAAAATAGTGACAGTTCTGCCAAATAGAAAACTAGTTGTCAAAAAATTAGTTTTAATGTGTCAATTATTAGTATTACCAAGCAAAAACGCATTACTTAAATCATAAAAAGTTTGTTTTTATTACGATATATTTTCATATTTTTGTTTTTGTTTATTTCTTATTTATATATTAATGCAGGGTTGTGCCGCACATGCTTGTGCTTGTGGTTGTTAATAATACTATAAAGTTTAACAAATAAGTATATAAATAAAAATTATACCGATATACAAATTTTGCCAAAAATATTACTAAAAAACTACGAAATAATTTCAAATCAAGTTCCTCAAGTTTTCTTAAATGTCAAATTGCGGCACAGTTTTCAAGTGTATTTTGATAGGAGCAACATTTTTGGATACACTGTTCAATAACTATAATCATTAATAATTCAATTAGAAGTCGTCTAATAACATTTTTATCTCACCAATTATTTAAATTACTTTTGCCCATGGTCACATGGTCTACATATTTTTTCCTTGTCTGACTGGCACTATATCATACTCTTTGCTCTGCGTTCAAGTATTACAAGTGCTACGCTTGGATCACTTACCGCATACCGCTCGCGTTCAGATTCTTGAGTTGTTCCTCGATTTTGGTGATCCTGTCGTTATTGCGATTTTTTTCGGTCACTAAATTCAAATGATTCTGAAACAATTTCATTCATCATTAGTACTAACATTGGGGTCAACTTCAAAACAAATTATTTATTCATTTAAAAATCGCGTTCCATTAAAAAAAAAGAGCTTGCTACTTTTTGACCCACCCCGTACATTGACCTGAGGTGACTTTCACTTGTTGAAAATCCATTTATCAAAATAAATGAGAACTAAAAGTTCAGATTTTCACGAAATTATATGTTTTTACACGAGAATTTAAGTTCAATAAAGGAGAGGTATTTAAATCTAATTGATCGTTAAGCGATACATTTGAATGTCTCATTTTGTTAATCTCCATGGCTTTCAATTTTCAAATTTAATTTTCTACTTCTTGTGGTTGTCAAAGTTGTCGTGAAAATGTGTTTTTCTGTGTTTAAGTTTGTAGCATAATTAGAATCTAGACTATTGTTTATAAACGCTCTTTTATGTTCGTTAATGTTTTTCTTGAAAGATCTACCTCTTTGTCCAATATAAAGTTTAGGACAAGATTTTTAAAAATTTTCCAATTGTGTTGTTCTGAAAGCTATTTTTAAACCACATTTTGACAAATGTTTTGAAACTTTTTCACTGGGCTCCTCTAGATATGTAATTGTCTTAAATTGTTCGTGTTGTGTATTAGGTTTCGGATAAATAGAGTCTACTGTTGTATGGATTTGTTTTTTATTTATAATTTTATCTATAATGGACGGATTGTAACCGTTGTTCAATACAATTTGTTTAATGATATTAAGTTCTTTGTTGTAATTTTCTGTTGAGGGTGGCGTATTAAGAAGTCTGTGTATAAAAGAGTGAAATGCAGCCATTTTGTGTGTATAAGGGTGACTTCAGTTGTTACGTACGACTGTGTCCGTGTGTGAATTTATGATGAATCGAAAAATCTAATTTGTTTGCCGTTTTCGTAATAGTTAAGTCTAAAAAATTAATAGAGTTATCCTGTTCAATATCGATAGTGAATTTTATACGATAATGTATATTTGATAAAGATACGGTGTTGTCGAAACAATTGCCATGTAAAAACATATATAAAATCTGAACTTTTAGTTCTTATTTATTTTCACGATGTATATTTTCTATTTACTGAAAAAACTGCATATATTTTTTTTATTGTAGCTTAAATGTTCAGAAACGATGTGACAAAAAAACATCTTTATTTAAATTTAAATTTTAGGCACGTTCAGAATGTTTTAAAAGAGCCAATTTTATAGTCGATGATTGGCACACTCACATAACATAAGTTTGCCAAGAATCAAACTAGCCCGACCACATACCCTTTGAGGTGAACCTTTAGGGTGGACAGGCCTACACGCGGTTCACACCTTAACCCGATAGAACATGGGATCAAATGGGTAGGTAAAGTCTGTTCATAGATATAAGAAAGTGACTAACTGATACGAATTAAGGAAAGACCCGGGCAAACTGTACGAATAAAATATTGCCGAACAGGTCCGTACTTTGCTTAGCATTTAATTTTTTGTGGTTTTGTTAGGAAAGATACTAAACAATATTTATTTATCTATTTATGTATTTTTGTTTCAAGCTAAAATAAAATTACAAATTATTTTTATTACCTGCTTAAATTACTTAAAATTATTCATACACATAATATGTTAGTATCAATATCGCTATCATTCCCTGTTCTAATTATTATTTGTTCTATATTATTTGCTATATGGATATACGATTGTTCTGCTTTCTCTATATGTTTAACAGAATTTGCCCAACTATGTGGAGGAATGTTAAAAACTTCGGTTCCTATAAGTTTGAGGACATTGGAGTTAACACGGGGAAAAACATTGTTACGACGAATGGCAGATTTCAGTTGGTGTCAAACATGTTCAATGGGATTAAATATACAGTGGTAAGGTGAAAGCCTTAAACCTGTATACCCTAGATTTTTTGCATAATTATCACAGACGTATTCCTTTTGTAGGTTCAAGCTTTGTAGAACCTCAATTAATGTAGTTTTGGATTGTTTCTTTTGTGTCACATGAGGAAGAGGTTTTAGTCAACTGTCTACTGAGATAACTTGCATTGTCCATTACAATTACGCTATTAGGAGGAACGTTTGGAACTAGTTTGTTTTTAAACCAACTTCCAAATAAATCAGCGGTGGTGTCTTGTTGGTAATTCAGATAAGAATCTTTCATATTTTTCGCAGACAAAGAAAATCCATTGGGAATTCAACCATCTTTAGAGCCAGCATGCAAAATAGTCATTCTTTTATCTCTTTTTGATGGCGCGTTTGTTTTACACTTATCCGTTGAGTCAACCAAATCCTTTTCCGGGGTATCACAAGTGTTGAACCAGGTTTCATACAAGTAAATAATTCGCCTTTGTCGTTCTCTGTAAATCCTTTTTTTCTAGATATTCCAGTCGCCATTTCCGAATTCTAAAAGATTATATTAAAACTTGCCATTTGTCAATTTTTTTAAATCTAAAACCCATGTGTTGAATAACACTTCCATAAGGAAGTTCTGCCACATTTAACACCGGTTTCATCTTTTTCAACCCTCATAATTAAGATATCTAATGTAGGCACGCTTTGTTCCTGGTATAACTGGTAAATTTTACGCCGTATTATATCTTGATCACTTTCATCTACACTCGAGAAAATGTCAGCATCGCTTCTTTTTTTCGTCAATGTAGCCGTTTCTTCTAAAGATGGTTGCTTGCTGGCACCACGTTCAATGAGAGTCAAATAAACAATGTTTATAACTTCCTTAGTCTCGATAGAATAGTGTTTTGTACATTTGGGCGGGAGCATCTCCTGAGACTAGCACATATTTTGCATAATTCGCACACGATTCAACACACGCTGTATTACACACGAAATAAGAATGATTATTAATAAACTTAAACTAAGTAGTATACCAAACCAAAGAATATTCAACACAGGTGAGTATAAAATTATTTTCTATTACGGACCACAATTTTACCTGAATTTACATTCCGAAACTTTAGGTAATAATCTTGTTGCATTGTATGTTAATGACCACCTTTGAATAATCCCATTTAAAAGCAATTATTAACTTTACTATTTTTTTTCTATAAACTATGCATATGACCCAAAAAATCAATATGCTATTTGGAAGACAACTTCATATGAATGAGTTTAAATTTGTCAAGAGTGCTGATCTTGTGAAACAAATGAAACGTGTTCATACCATAGTTATAGTGAAGGTAACAAACTTGTTTTAGACTTAAATTATCCGCCCTTGCAACTGGAATTTTCACTTTATTCGTGTTTAACCATTTGGATGGGGTTTAATTGTGTTAGCTTCATACATACTACACCGCAAAAAGTCGCTCAAATTATCGCTTTAATCGAAAGTGAACTTGGCCAGCGAGCTGTTGCTCGACAACTGGATGTGACACGCGCAGCATTTCGATATGAGGAGACTGGATCCTTTGCTAGGCGCCCTGGGACAGGCAGAAGGCACATTACAACGGCTCGTGATGACCGCTTTATTGTGTCGTACAATAATAAGAAATCGTCACCTTAATGCGGTTAACTGCCTCATGAAGTTCGAAGAGTGACGATTAGTCTCAGCGGACAGTGAAAAGAAGACTGAATGAAAATAACCTGACCCCAAAAACAACTGCAATTGGTCCAAAACTTACTCCAGCTCATCGAAAAGCACGCCCAGGCTTTGCACGGGATCATCTGAATTGGACATTCGACCAATGGGAGTTCTCAGATGAGACCAGAATATGCCTTTTTGGTAGTGACCGAGGAAAAAAAGTGTACCGAAGACCTGGAGAGCGATTTTAAGAAGGAGCGGAGCCCTTATGGAGATGGTTCCTGTTTCACGTAGTACCATATGTCGACTACATTGGAGAAGAATTCATTTTTATGCATCACAATGGCTAGGCCGCGCACCGCAAGGCTCGTACAACATTACATTACAGAGGTCGGTTTTCGAGTTACGGAGTGGCCAGCATGCAGTCCCGACCTAAATCCAATCGAACATTTATGGGATGAGCTAAAACGGTGAATTCGAGCTAGACTTCGTACCCCAACTTCGATCCCAGAGCTTATTGTTGCAGAGTGGCTTAACATTCCAGATGAAACAATAGCGAACTTGATTAGACCTCTGCCTAATCGAGTAAGAGATGTTATTAGACCAAGAGGGGGGCCATACCCATTATTAAAAAATAAGTGTCAATTTAAACTCGTATTAAATTATCTTTCAAACAGCAGCACAAAATATCACAATGGGCCGATTTCTATGCACGCAAGTTTACTTTATGATTTCGCAGAGCCGATGCACCAGATTTCACGCGATTGTAGCTATCCTTAAGAAAAAAAAAATTAAATTATTTTTCCAGATATTCGAAATATCATAATTATACGTAACAATAAACATAAAAATAAACGATTTACTGCTACGAATTGGAGACACGCGTTCCTCGAACAGCGCCTAATGGAAATCTAATCACGCTAATTTGGGGCTTTCGGGCAAATTAACTTCGTCGAGTAAAAAGCAATTTCTGGGGGGTCGCCTCTCTTTCTCTCGGTCCGCCATGGATTGGCGTTAGTTCTCTGCGAGATATCGGGTTGCGGCGTAACCGGAGAGCCCCATCAGCAGGAGGTCTTCGCCACAGCCTATGCCGTCAGGGCAAACAACAAGATTGGTCGCTTAACGGACCAAACCCCCTGCCTAATAGTCGATACCGCAGTCTGCGGGTTGCATTTTGTGTGTGTGTGTGTGAGGGGGGAGCGTAATCTGGGCACCCTTTATTACCGCAATTTAGTTACCATTAGAAAGGCGCACGGTAATTTGGGACTTATTACAGTTATAGTTATTCTTAGGATCAAAACCTCTACCTCTACCTCTACCTCTACCTCTACAGAACCATGGTAAAACCCATTTCAGAAGATGTTTGTTTATTCTGCATTAAGTAGGTCTTGCTTGACATGAACCGTAACGAATATTTGTGGAAACTTGATATTTTTATTTAAAACATATATGGACCGTTTTAAATTTGCGCGTTTGTTTTTACATCAGGTGATATGTATCGTTCTTACGAATTTAATCTAAATTGCAGTATGTTCGTATATATTACGAGGCTGTTTTCACTGGATAGTTCAAAGGATAAGGGTAAGTATGGTCTGTTCATAGATATAAGAAAGTGACCAATTGCTTTTGAATGGGATTATCCAAGGGTGGTCATTAACATACAAAGCAACAAGATTGTTACCTAAAGTTCCGGAATTTAAATTCAGGTAAAAGTGCGGTCCGTAATAGAAAATAATTTTATACCTACCTGTGTATATTCTTTGGTTTGGTATACTACTTAGTTTAAGTTTATTAATAATCATTCTTATTTAGTGTTTAGTACAGCGTGTGTTGAATCGTGTGCGAATTATGCAAAATATGCGCGAGTCTAGTGTATCTGAGGAGATGCTCCCGCCCAAATGTAAAAAACACTATTCTATTGAGACTAAGGAAATTATAAACAATGTTTATTTGACTCTCATTGAACGTGGTGCCAGCAAGCAAACATCTTTAGAAGAAACGGCCACATTGACGAAAATTCCAACATCAACTATATGGAAAATTGTGAATGATTCCATTTCAGCGAGGAAAAAAAGAAGCGATACTGACATTTTCTCGAGTGTAGATAAAAGTGATCAAGATTAATACGGCGTAAAATTTACCAGTTATACGAGGAACAAAGCGTGCCTACATAAGATATCTTAATTAGGAAGCTTGAAAAAGATGAATCCGCTGTTAAATGGCAGAACTACTTTATGGAAGTGTATTCAACACATGGGTTTTAGATTTAAAAAAATTGACAAAAGGCAAGTTTTAATGGAATTTTCTAGAATTCGGAAATGGTGACTGGAATATCTAGAAAATATTAGGATTTACAGAGAACAACAAATGCCAATTATTTACTTGGATGAAACCTGGTTCAACACTTATGAGACCCCGGAAAAGGGTTGGGTTGACTCAACTGATAAGTGTAAAAAAACGCACCATCAAAAAAAAAGGTAAAAGAATAACTATTTAACATACTGGCTCCAAAGACGGTTGAATTCTCAATGGACTTTCTCTGTCTGCGAAAAATATTAAAGATTCTTCTCTGGATTACCATGAAGACACTACCGCTGATTTATTTGGAAGTTGGTTTAAAAACAAGCATTCCTCCTAATAGCGTAATTGTAATGGACAATGCAAGTTACCACAGTAGACAGTTGACTAAAACCCCTTCCTCATGTGACACAAGAGCAACAATCCAAAACTACATGTATAATAACGACATTTATTTTCAGGAAGATTATACCAAAAAACAATTAATTGAGGTTCTACAGAGCTTGAACCTACAAAAGGAATACGTCTGTGATAATTAAGCAACCAATCTATGACATACAGTTTTAAGGCTTCCACCTTACCACTGTATATTTAATCCCATTGAACATGTTTGGCACCAACTGAAATCTGCCATTCGTCGTAACAATGTTTCTTCCCGTGTTAACTCCAATGTCCTCAAGCTTATAGAACCCGAAGTTTATAATATCCTTCCACAAAGTTATATTCGGCGTATATAAAGGTACGTCATAAGAATACAGATAAATGTTTATTAGAATCTTACAATTAAATATTTTTTGAAGGTTCCTGTTATTTAACACTTTAAAATGTGGACCGTGAAATGAAGCAGATGTTCCCCTGTTAGAGATGGTAGTCGAACATAATCACAATTTAGAAGACGAACTAGCTCAGCAAATAAAAAACGGATCCATTTGTCTTCGGATGCTAAACAAATTGTTTTCAATGTTTACAATTTTATAAGAAATTCAGAAGGAGACGTATAAAAACAAGTGACATAGAACGCAATAAGTTGTCACTAAATTCATTTATTCATTCATTCATTTATAATTCATTAGATTAGCATCTTACTGTAGAAAACAACTGACAAAGGGTGGTGCAATTTTTCAAAGGAACTATTTACAAATCTTTTGAATTCCTATTGCGTCGATTATTTATAAATCAAACAAAAATTAACAAGGCTTTAGGGAGAGAACATTCAGCGCAAAAGACGAATGTTAGAAGATCACCGACTGAAACCGGCCAGATTACTCTGTACACTAACTTTTTTGTTACTTTGTAAATACGACAACGTTATCCATAATTTTCTTGAAATATCCGATAATGTCTAATAAAATTCTTTGTAAATCAAGTTTAGCTTTACTTCGAGAAAGAATGCATCACACCCGTAAAGAAATAGACCAAATCAATATGACTTTGGTACCAATATCTTGAAATTGCTTTCATCTTGTCCACATACGAGTTCAAATATGATTCACGACAAAGTTGAAAATTATCGTTCATCTTCTATTCAGAATATCATTCAACATTTTTAAAAACTAACGTCAACACTGGGGAAACTATCGAACTCTTTTCAACTACCACACACTGTGGTAAATGTATTACGGCACCAACTTTCTGAGACGGAAAAATCAGTTCTTGCAAAAAGTTCTTTGCCCCACATATTATCCCCAAAAGAGGAAATAATTCCAAATCTCATAATGTAATATTTCAAAGCCTGAACGAATTGCTCTAACATCCTTAAAATCTAATCCCGATATCGCAACTGACTATCAGGAAAAAATATTCTTACAGACGGATCCTACTCGTATATAACTTAAAAAAGATCCTAACGTCATCTATGAAACGCAGTCTTAAATCTGTTATTAAGGCTTCTCCATTAGAATCCGTCAAAAAGTATGTTCACTCCTCATAACTCTAAAATTCCTCGCCTCCACGAACTCCCTAAGATTGACAAGCCACCCCTTCGACCTACTGTGAGCCCCATTGGTTCTCTCTATGGAGAAAACTGATAGTTCCACACTTAATTCCTTTCATTTACTATTAAAAACCATTACATTAGATCCAAACGATATTCTGGTTAGTTTCGACGTAGAATCCCCCTTTTCTAAACTCCCTCATCCTGAACCTCTGAACATTATTTCAGGTAAAGTCTGTTCATAGATATAAGAAAGTGACTAACTGATACGAATTAAGGAAAGATCCGGGCAAGCTGTAAGAATGAAATATGGCCGAACAGGTCCGTACTTTGCTTAGAATTTAATTATTTGGGGTTTTGTTAAGAAAGATACTAAACATTATTTTTTATAAGATTATAAAGATAATATAAAGACAAAGATTTTAATTGCAATATGTAATTAGATCTAATATATTAAAATAATAAGTTACTTACACTTGTTCAAGAGTGCCCCAGGCTGTTAATAGTTAATATGACATTTTCTTTAAAAAGTGTTCAAAGGTGCCCCCCTCACCCCTATATGAGCTGTCTAACGAAAACCATTGTTGACAGAAATTCAAAATAGGAATCGTTGGATTTAGCCCTAATCGTTACCTATAGCGACGAAAACAGATTTGACGTCCATAAATTTGAAGTTTCGCTTTTACGAAGTACAGAAAAGTTATATTCAGGTATACATTTTATCTTTCAAGGGGACAAAGTATCAGATCATACCGCTAAATCTACCACAAAATTGATTAAATGAGTCAGTGATTTTAATCTATTTTTTTAAAACAAAACCCTTTAACTCTCAAGTGATTTCAAAATGGTTTACAAAACGGTTCAAACCCCCACAACATGTAAAGTTAACTTTAAAATATAACGGAACTCACCACGCTCAAATACTTGTCCTCGATAATATGTTTAACTTTGGCAATGAGGGCATCTTCGCGTACACGCGCGGCTTCCCGAACTTCCCTTATTATGTCGACGAGCATACCTGGCTCGTACTCCCTATCGTAATGCCTAACATTCTGGTGCTGCTTGAGTGTATTTAGTTCAATTCTCAGTTCCATTACTTCCCTGGATAATTTCCGATTGTTCTCTATCAAGGAGTTGAGCTGCGTGGTCAGTTTGCGAGCGAATCTTTCGTCGAAAGAATTCGAGCTCGAATCGCTTTCATTGGGCAAACCGGGATCTGAGAAACGCCGCTTGGTTGCTTCTTCGTTTTGGTCCATATTGGCAACCGGTAGACTCATGTAGTCGACAATATCGGAATGTACATTGAAATTGTTATTGAAAAGAGACGAATGTCTCGACGAACCGAATACATTCCCCGGATAAGCATATCTGGGGCAATTCATGGGATATATAGGCAAGGACATCGGCTCCGATTGATTGGAACAATTCAAAAATGAATAATAGTTATGGGACAAGTCGGGGTTCTGGTACGGGTGACCGCTTAACGGAAAATAGTTGCAAGACGACATGTTTATATCAAAATTGGTAAAGGCATCACCAGAAGATTTCTTTTCGCGATTTTTCTTACGTCTCGTTACACTGGGAGGGTTTGCGTTCATTTCAGGAGACATCGTAAAATGATAAATTAAAAATATAAATATACGGCACAGATCACAATAATGCGCGAAAAAATACAAATTTCCAAACAAAAACTACAAATTTACCACCTTTCGGGAGAATGTCACCCACCATAGATAATGGTTTGGATATGTTCATTGGGGCACCTAGCTCAAATCATTCGACCAACCGTCAATCGTAGTTTGATCACAGGAATGGAAAAAGAATATTTCAATATTAAGTGTATAAAGTATCGCTTCTTGCGGAAACATTTTATACTACAATCTTTAAAAATAAAATTCCACCAAAATAATCAAGCCTCGGAAAAATTGTGTCGTGTCTCCGGGCTTTAGGTGAGTCTACAAGGATAAATTAAATTTAGTTATTCCTATCTATGATAACACGCTCAAAGGCAAAGAAACTATCGCGAGCGAAACTAACCAAAAGCTATTAAACACCTGAATGTTGAGGAAATGTGAATTGTTCATTAATTGTAAAAATTTCCTGTTTATATTTAATTGCGGCACAAAAAATGTTTCAGCCCGCTTCGGTTTCGCTTTCCGGGCCGGCCCTTTCCTTTTTATTTTACGAGACTTGTAAGGCAACTTTTAGACAGGTATTTATAGCTCTATTTTCGTTTATTGGTAATGAGTAACAGCGTATTTTAGGATGGGTTTTTATTAGGCGAAATAATTCACAAACAAACGACGAGTATTACGGATAACGATCAGCAGCAAGTGAACGTTTATAAAGTTATCAAAATAAACTCCATAATGCCCTGTCCTCCCGGAAATCAGTACTTTGTCAGGGGCAGAGTGGACAAAGACAAGCTGAAGAAGTTTCTGGGATCTAATTTTTCAAAGGTGGTCGCGTGGTATAAATTCCAGCCGTTCTCGAGCTTCGATTTTAGCTTAAAAGATAGGGCAATTCACAAGCAGTTGAGGGAACTTTTCGATATTCCTTACGATTTGTTTTCGTGCTGTTTTTTATCCATAGAATGCAGGGATAACCTGTCGAGTTACACCTTCTCGCAGTCTTTTATAAGATGTTTCAACGGATATTTTGATAGGTTAAGTCTTAGTATTCCTAACTTAAGTGAATCGAACAACTCCTACAAAAATTCTGAACCGGCTTCGCCAGTATTCAGTAAGATATTGTCAGGATTAAAAGTCAACATTGAAAATGTTAAAGGAATCGTGGCGGTTACCGAGATTGAAAATGCAGTTCAAAAGTACATCAACAACACCGTTTTGGAACTCGCCAAGGCGGAAAAGGTGTTGTTCGAGTTAGAAGAAGAAGTGAACATGTTAAAGAGGGGTTGCCACCTCAAAATTAACTCCAATCGTGGTAATGCGGAACATGCCTCACAAGGCAGTGCAAAAAATGATGATTGTGAAGAAACCGAAGACCTTATAACTTTTGCCGAAGATCCGCTGTCCCACCTACCCCGGGTTATGGAAGAAGAAGGTTCTCAAGAAACAAGAAAGCGCAGGACTAACAAAAATTCCGAGGAGAGTGACATTGATGTAAGTTTTGACGGTGACTCTAATAAAAAGGAATCCGATACTCTTAGAGGTGCGATTACGAGATCGAGTACCACTCCCGAAGGTAGGGAAACCAGGAGCAGGAGCAAAAAAAAGATATTAAACTAAATATTTTGAATTCTTGTAAGCACGACCAATTATTTTCTCAAAAATTAATTTAAGCTTTTTACTCACCAAATATTATTTTACATTAATTACATAAGGGTACAAGTTAGTAATTGTAATTTTTAGAATTATGTCCTCCAATATAAAATCAATTATAAACGAACTCTTATAATTTAGAAAAAAAAGTTTGATGCAAAAGTTACAGGATTCAATGTGTAGATTTAATATTACCTATTTATTTATGACAAAAAAGCATAGGATATCAAAGTTATATTTCTTAAATTAAGAGTCCCATATATTATTTAATAAAACGGAAGGTCCCTTATGGTGATTTAAAAAATATGCTAAACGTTAATACTTATTTTTTACGTTAAGGCCAAAATTACCCAAAAATAAAATCATTACTTAGTTGGCCAAGCATGTTCCACTTCTTTTAAAAAAGAATGATGTTTTCAGTTCAAATTTTCAAAAAAATCGAATTATCATTGTACAAAAAAAAAGACAATAATGCAAATAGGGTCAGGGAATATGTTGCATAAAAAAACATAGATAATATAAATATATAAATATTAATTTATTGATTAGGAATATTGCGTTAAATGTAAAAAAATTCCATCATTTTCTCGAATACAGAGGTGATGCCCTCTTTTCAACGTGTTTAAAGCTTTAATTATCCCTTCATGTTGAGAATTATGAATATTTACTTTATTTATGTATTTCACTACTAATCAGTTTTTTTAATGATCAACTAACCAAAAAGGTATCTGGAAAAGTGAAATCTGGGCTATCCCACAAGCCACGTTGCATTGTTCACATTTTTTTTATAAAACATTTTAAAATTTTCCTCAATTGCAAACATTCTTTTATCGAATTTTTTTAAATTGATATTTAAGATATGCAGTAACTGTCATAGTTGACGTGACGTTGGCGTGACGTCATGATGAGACATGGCCAACTAAGCGACGATTTTATTTTTGGCTAATTCGAACCTTAGCGTAACAAATAACTATAACATGCTATATATTTTTGAAATCAGCATAAAAAAATCTTTCTTCTGATAAAATAAATACAGGGCTTACGATATTAAAAAAATATAACTTTCATAACACTGCCCGGTAGTTTGCAACCCTATAGTTAGGTTGGTGATATTGTGTAAATTGGTAATACTATGCTTGATGTCGTTTTACTCCCTGTGCTAACCAACTATAGAATACTTTGTCTTTTTTTATAAGTTCAAACATAGAATTTAAGATTTCTAGTAAATTATTATGCTAAATTCTTTAAAAAACGTAGAAATTTCAAATTCTATGTGTTTGAACTTCTAAAAAAAGACAAAGTATTCCATCACAACAAGCATATTTGGTGTGGGATTGTTGGGTTGGCAACACTGCCCGGATGTCTGCAATCTTATAGTTGGAAGCAGACTGAAGAAAGTACGTGAAATAATTACTTATGTTAATTAAATCGAATAATTTTACGGAACTACGGCAAATTGAATTGGCGAACAATAAACCTAATATGTAACATATATAGTATGCTTTTTGGGCGCACCCTGTATATTAATGAGTGTGTAATATTATATCTACACATCTGTCTTATGAGAAATACCTGTTGAAGTTAACAATAGTTACGTATCTAAGGAAAAGTCTGGTGCATTTCGAGACTTTATTTTTAATGAGGTTGTACAAATTGCCTTGAAAGTAATAACAAACAATTAGTTGTGCTTATGTCGATAATATTGAAAAATCGCCGTTATAAATTTTATCACGTACTGTGATATCTGTATTTTTGTAGCTGTAGCTAGTCCTAGAGCAGTTGTTAATTTAATTAAATTTAACCAGGAAGGACGAATAAATGTTTTCTGTTGATACTGTTTAACCATTGTGTTCTTGCTACCATTTTTTATAATATATATTTATATGTAAGTGCCATAACAACAATAAGTTGTTTTGAATTTGTATTTTTTCAAATTCACAGTGCAAAAAATATTATTGTACAAATTTTCAGCGGTAAAGCTGTAAAGCATAACGAAACTACCGTGTAAATCCTTATATTGTTTTATGGCACTGCAAATCTATTTACTTCGATCCATACATTATTTTACTAGCGCAAACATGTATATAATGTAAGTTACCTACTCCGTTATATATTTAGAAAATAAAATATTGCTTCGCACTAATTATTTCTTCATTCTAATTAAATTTTCTTGTAAAATTCTCTGTAAACTTTGTTGTTAGTTTTGATTTTTTATATTCAATTTAATTTTACCGTGGATTTTTATGTATCATATTTGAATATGCCTTTCGGTGATTAAATATATTATTTTAGAATATTCTCGGCTTTTGTTTCGGATTTATTTTCAATGTAGAAAGAAAAAAGATTACGTGTCAAACTGAATGTTATGTCGGGACTTATTAACTTTTTATTTAGTTGGAAAATGCTTCTCTTACTGTGTCGAATTGAACTATAGGTAAAACGGCAAACAAAACAACGAATCTTAAAACAAACCAAAAATAGTAATAGGCAGATTAGTTTTGGACAGTACGACACTCATTTTTTACCAAAATGTATTCGCTTTCGCCACACCGCTGAAGACAGACGTTTGTACTCTATATCGCTAGTAGACATATGGTTACAAACAATCACCAAACAGAATGGCTTTGTCGTTTGTCAACAGGAGAGGATGGGTCTAACGGATCATTGAGCATCGACTCATCTTTGTTTACATTTAAGTTGCAGCACATCGAACGTAAGAAAAATGACAAAATTTGTATACCTGTCGCAAACTGTCTAGACGGGACATTCATTAGGTACATCTTTGAATCATTCCCTTCATTTTAAATCCCCCTTTCAACCAATAGACGGGTTAGGGCGTTTTACGATTAACATGGCCGTTGACAATTTTCAGGTCATGGAAAAGACGACTTAATTCAAACCATTTCCTATAATTAATCAGTTTAAAAGTATTTATGGTATCCGTGTTATCCAGTAGGTAGTGTAAACCATATTTTTTAGACGTTAAAACCCTTATTACAGGAACCAGTCGAGTAAATTAGGTCCTGAAATGCTGTTTGTCAGACAAATTTTAAATTTAGAATAATTTCGAACCTTTCCCCATCATTTAAAATTTCTCTTTCAACCAATCATTGCTATTTGCGATTGTTTTCAGTTAGTATTCTATGATGGTCGGTGGAAAACGCGCATTTTCTGCGGCAATTATGTGGAATATGCCCAGACTTATTTAAAATGTTTAGGCAAAAGACGAGTTAAGTATAACTAAATCACATGCACATCGCACCTCGAAAAGAGTGGCAGGATGAACTTGGCTTAACTGACCATAAGAAGAAGAATTATCTGTGTCTACCTTGGTGGTCTTTATTGAATTTAAAAATGTCTAATTTGTCTTATGCATACTAAGCTAATTAAAGTATAGATATTGGAAGCTCAAATGAAACTGCAACAAGAGACCTGCTTTTAATTTAAAAATAATCTTAATGTTCCTGAATTATCGGGCACGTATTTACATTTTTTGCAGCGATTTTGTGGAATATGCTCTGTTTCCACTAGATGTTCACGGAAAAGACCATTTGTGGTAAATTTTAAAGTTTCTAGTAGGAATGGTTAACCATATTTTTTATATATAGCTGTTAAAAAACTCGCTACCTGTTGAGTTAACTAGGGTTTTTACAAAATAAATCCCTTGTATTGCTTTCACATAAACAAATTTTAAGTTTTAGCAGGAAAATAATACTGTCGCGCATTTATTTAACACTATTTATTTGTCCGTAGTAATTCCCAAAATCTCCCTGTCAACCAATGAACGAATTGCGACTTGTGACGATGAACATGGCTGTTGACAGTTCGTCAATTTGACAATTGCCAGGTAGCATTCTGTTGTGTTCGGTTGAAGTGTTAGGTTTTTTATGGCGATTTTGTGTAATACGCCCGGATTCCGTTAAATGTTCAGGTGTTTGAGTTTGAAAAACATTGTTCTTCCTAGCATTATATCATAGCCGCTTGACTTGCACCAATTTCAAGGTATGTATGGTTAATATTATTATCGAGCACCTGTAGATAACCAATTTTTTTTATGTAGCTGCTAGAAAACTCATTATCATTACGAGTTCTAGATTTCTACAAAACAAATCCCTTGTAGTCCTTTCATGTAAACAAATTCAAAGTTTTTGAGAGGAAAATAATACTGTCGCGCATTTATTGAACACTATTTATTTGCCCGTACTAATTCCCAGAACTTACATAGCAGATAACACCTTACGCTACTTATAAATCTATTTATTAGTGACGAATACAAGAAAAAAAGATTAAAACGAATTTAAAAAAAAATAGATTTTATCTGACACAAAGAAAATTAATAGCCAGACAAAGTATTTGCAAAAATCTCGACGTTTTCATCTATCGAGAAGTTTGGAAAACAACATAGCAACAAACTAATGAATTTAAAATAAAGTGATTTCCCTTTGCAGCGGTTCATTCACAAAATCGAAAACTGAGATCGATGATACATGAATATAATTATTTTCTGTACACATAAAAATATGGGAATACACGATTCTCTATAAACATAGACGGGTACTCATTCGATGACGATATTTTCAAATCAATATAACAGTGATAAAATTTATTGCAATTACCTAGTTGAGTATGGGATAAATTCTGCGTTAGTTTCATTAATTCTAAACGAAATATGGCAGTAATTGGACAAAACGTAAATGATGAAAAGATAACAAACTAGAAACTAAATGTAAAAAGTACCATGTACAGGGTGATCAATTAACAAGAGCCCTATCTCGACAAGTAATTGTCGTAAAGACTTGTAATAAAAAAAATTACGACTAAACCGGCCAAGAGAAAACGGTACAAATTGATTTTAAGTTTTTAGATTGTCCGACAGAGGGCGTGATAGCATTCTCGAATTTTATAACCCAATTTTTGTATTACAGCAGGTATAAGCAAGATATCACGGATATCACGGATTTCACAAAGATTTCTCGGATTTCACAAGGATTTTATAGATTTCAAAATGATTTTGCGGATTTTACAGATTTTCAGAAATAATTTTTAGCTTATGTATGTTTTGTATTCCGTCATACTGAAAAAACTATTAAAGTAAAAAGAACGCTTAACACATACTTTCAAAAAGCAAGAAAGAAAGTATTATTAGCGTCAGTGTTAAATTGATAAATACTTTAACTTAACTGTAATTAAGTAATTTTCTTCATAGAGAGGAGCACGTTTAAAAGCTTTAGTAAAGGATTTCGATAATTATTGATTAATTAAAAATTACAATTAATGGTAAATAGAAAAAAAGCGGATTTTTTTTCAAATAAAAATCTACAACTTTGTATGCCTTCATATCTTATTACCTTAATAATAAAGTGAGTTTCTTAGTTTTGAGTTGGGTTGCGACCGAATGTCACAACTTTAAAGACATTAATGGAAAGTACTCAAAACAAAATTTCAAAAATTCGTTACGATTTGAACAATATTTCACAGATTTAACGGATGACAAAGATTTCACGGGACTGGTACACCAGATTTCACAGATTTCTAACTAATTTTACGGATATAAAAATTAATTTTTAGATTATGTGGACAATTCTTTTCTTCCGTCGTAACTAAAAAAAAACTTCATTGTTTCCTTTTTCTTTTCTTTCGATAACATTACAAGTGAAGCTAAAAATATAAAAAATAGCAGCTGAATTTTTCTTTTCAAATGAAAGCTACTTCTTTTTTACGACTCGATCTTATTCCTTTTATCTTGTGACCTTAAAAATGTCAAGTGAGTTTGTCACAATTGGAATCAAATAAAATAGTGAAATACAATATTATTAGGTTATAGGTTAGAAAAAAGATATCGAAATGCGGTTTTTGCTACACTTACTTGGCTCTTTTTTATCGCACTAAAAGTGACATTGGTGCATTTCAGTTTTTTGAGGAACGGAATTTTATTTGAATTGGGTCGCAGAACGCCCTCTAGCGGCGATACGAACAAACCGAATTAATCCGTCAGCGTCGATAGCATACTATTCCAACTTTGCTAAAATCGCGCCGAACCTGTCGACTTTATTCCCGAGAATGTGCAGACAGTCCCCACCACTTTCCGTTATTCTACGGAAAATAATGGAATTAATTCCACCTTTGAAACAGTGTCCGTTCAAGAATGCGATTACGCCCTCTGGCGGCCATGAGGAGTCATAAGTTTTTTTACATCGGTGCCTTAGTTAATCGGCCACCCGGTACGTAGAATCTTTTGAAAATAAAAACCTACGCGTAGTCGACGTGGCAACAAGTCTAAACGCGACATTCAACAATTACGCAGGAAAAGAGAGAGCTTGAAAACGGGTGTGGTGAGACTCTTGAAGGAACGTGAAATCGGAAATGGAACGTAAATAAATATGTCTTTTGACGAAACCTATTTGGCAAATAAGATGAGATTTTGACTCGACGGGCGAACGGATAAAGTTATATTTGGTATATAAAAATGAGCATTTCCTTAATAACCGTATATACACTATAGGACACAAATATAGCGACAAATACAAAAAAATCAAAGAAATGAACAATATTTTGCAAAAAGAGAAGATTAAACTCAACAAAATTATAATGGTCAGCCGTAAAAAGTATCGCAACAAAAATAGTTTATTGCATTTTGTGTATTGCTGTAGTGGCTTCAGGAAAAAAATATAGTATCCGACTTACCATTTTGTTAGAAAAGATAGTGGGGAAAGGAGTTGCTTCATCCAAAGATGTACTACAGTAAAGCAGGTTGATAAAACGAACGTGATAACAAAACTATTCAAGAGAGATTAGTCAAATACCTTTAGTTTCTGCTAGCAATGAGCTGAGCAAAGTACTCCTCAGTGAAGAGACAGTATAATGTTTTTAGTTTTAGATGGAATGAGATGAGTTAGAGACGTGTACACCAGCGTTTTAATCCCAGGTACGTAAGCCCTACAGTAAGCGTGGAACGGTAGTGTAGTGGTGGTGGCTTGTTTTTTTTATCTAGGAAAGTACACTTTGTTGATAATTCCTAACACAGGTTCAAGGATAACCTCATATTTTAATGAAAGAAATAATTGAAACAATAGCCAGAAAGAACAAGAAAAACGAGTGCAGATGAAGACAGGTTGGTAAAACGCATTTCTGTGAACGATCTGTGGAATTACCCCGCATAAACATTTCCTCCAGAACTATTCAAAGAAGGTTAGTGGATGCATGGTTATACAGTAGGAGGCCAGCCAAGAAATCTTTAATTTCTGCTAGAAATAGAGCTGATAGGCTAGCATTCGACAAGGACGTATCAACTGGACTGCTGCTGACTAAACAAAGGTACTCTTCGCTGAAGAGACACGTTATAATATTTTTAGTTCCAATGGAGTGAGACGAGTTAGGAGACTTGTAAAGCAGCATTTTAATCCCAAGTGCGTAACCCCTATAATAAAGCATGGTAAAGATAGTGTATTCTGATGGGCTGTGATTCCTAACACAGGTTAACGGATAACCTCATATTTGAAAGAAATAATTAAAATAATAGTCTTAAGTCAAGGAGAAAGAAAAATGACTGCACATGAAGACACGTTGTTAAAACGCATTTCTGTGAACGATCTACATAAGCGTTTCTTCCAGAACTATTCATTTCTGCTCGAAATAGAGCCGATAGGCTTGCGTTCGCAAAATAGCATATCAATTGGACTGCTGATGACTGGAGAAAGACGCGTTGGAAAACGTGTAAAATTGTGTTTTAATCCCAAGTAAAATAAAGCACGGTATAGGTAAAAGTAAGCCTTGTGGGCTTGCAGAGGTTGATGTACAGAGGCATTATGGAAAACATTACGCTTCAGTTCGCAGAATGGGAAATGGTTCTAAAGACACCTCCAATCATGTGCAAGATTGGTCTTGAACCCGATATAAAACTTACGGGCAGAATTCTTTATGAATAAAATTATAGAAGTTTGTAGAAACCAATCAGAAAAGTTGATAAACTCCTTTCCAAGAAGATGTAACAAAGTTTTAAACAAAAATCTTTATGCTACTGGTTATTACAATTTTCAATAATTTAAGATGCTAATTCTTGTTACTTTAGAGCGTTTAAAATATTGTTCGTTCTTTGTTTATTTAATCAGTCGGCCTTAATAAAAAATCGTGCAATACTTTTGTCACCACTGTTTTCGAACAAATTACTCTTCAACTTTTGTACTGATGTTGTCTTGAATCGTATCTTAAAGAAAGATTTCGTTAACCTATCATCGACTAAAAACACTCTGGGCTTCATGAACTTTTCAATTATTTAAAATCTTAGGAATCTTTTAATTTCTTGCAATATTTATGTCCAATAGTTGTAACTCTCTCGCGAAATGATGATTTGTTCCAAAATATCATTCGATTATATTTCGTCCATATTGAAAAAAATTGAACAGAATCCTATCCGAAGCACATCGAGTATCAAAATTCTTTCAATTTTTCCGAAATAAGGAAGGGATACGGGTTAAAGAAATTAAAAACATATAACGATCTTTTTTCTCAAACCCTGAAAATTTGCGAAGAAATCATCATCCACGCGTTACAAAATATTTAAATGCACTTTGCGATACATTTTCAGTTCGCTATGGCCGTTTTTCTTTATAAGACACCTCGCATCAGTCCATTCATTTTTTCTTCAATATACAATAGATTAATTTTGCTGCTTAATCCTGCAATTTTGTACGAAAACGTAATTTCCTCGGATTACAATCAAAGGGATTTCAAACTCTCGCGATACTGCCGTCCGTTCCTCTACCCTAGGTTCTAGCTAAATGTTGTTTTGAGTGTGAATGTCGAGCGCCACCAGTAACTCTTCACCTTGGAGGAGGGAGCTGTTGACCGGAGCGTTGACCTGAAATCACCAACAAAGACAACGTGATTATAATGTTTTTCTACGAGTTTGGATTTGAGACAAGTATACCAACAGCTATAATTGTCTCAGTGTAGTCGTAGCGTCGCTTCGTCATTCGATAATTTAAACACCGAAATTTGTTACCCACCCTCACATTAAAACTTCATCTTTTCAAGACTTTAAAATTCCCGCACCCTGCAGTTTTTCCAAAATTCACAAAACAAATATACCTCTTTTTGAGACCATTGGTTACCAACGTAGTCTTTAGCAAAACATCTAGCTTCAATTTTAAAACCTTCTACGGGAAAAAGTCCCAGTTCTGGGGTTAATTCTTTTCATATTATTCAAACGTAAAAAGCATTAAGTTACGTTCGGACGATATTTTAATCAATATGCAAGATGATGTTTTCCGTATCTGACCACATAGTTAGGAATGTTTTCAAACATTTCCGAACTATTCAAACTCGATCATCAATTTCACAATCGAAGTGAACTTTTTAAACATGCTTTTTAGTCGAAAAGCAAACTTAACGTTGGGTCTATAGAAAAACGACTCATACTGATAGATAGATACCTAAACGCATTATCGCATTAATATCCAGCCTAAAAATCCTCCGTGATTAATTCCTTTGTTTTCAGAGCAATACCCAACCAGGGAGATCTCACCTCAGGTCTCTCAAACAATTTCTGTTATCTAGATATCAGATAGTCGATTAAAAAATACACTTCACCAAAACCACTCCGTAAATGACCCCCGTCTGCCACTGTAATACTTGTCCTAACATCTTATATTAATATCAGCTTTTTGTAAGGTCAGTTAGGCCTAGAGCTGTGTAATTTTCCTCCATTCGATTCTATCTCTTCCTAAATTTCTCCAATTAGTAATCCTTCTCTCTCTTAAATCTTCCTCCACGGCTTCTCTCCATCTTCTCCTTGGTCTACCACGCTTCACGTTTTCTTCTCTATGATTTTCCACCCTGGTGAGGTGCCCTAGCCATTGTACTCTCCTTGCTTGAACAAATTTGTCTGTAGAGTTCACTATTCATCTTTCTCTCCCAGCCATACTTTGTATTCTTGCTTTCCTTTCCTGTATATTTAGTTTCTGATGTTGAAGTTGGTCGGACCAGTGCCTTGCAGAGTCTGATATTTTATTGTCCTTAAGACCTCCTTAACATTAGAATTTTGTGGAGCATCCACAGACAAATGTTACATTTTGCTATTCGTAGATCAACTTCCTTGCCCTCCTCCTTGTTTGTTACTAGTACTCCCAAATACATATAGTCATTTACCTGTTCAAATTCACATATCTTGTTAGTCCCCACTTGTACTTGTAAGTTTCGTTTGCTTTTGGTTCTAGTATTCAGGTTAAATTGGAGCCCAAGTTGTTTGGTAGTATTTTTGTGCTCAGTTCTACTTCTTGCCGCGCTTATGCTAGGCATCAATGGCTTTTATAGAACAATGTGCCTTGTCCATGTCCTAGCATTTAACTAACATAAAATTCCTCTCAAGATCGCAGATGTTTAGAGCATTTCATGCAAAGCAAAGAATACATTCGGGAAACGGGTCGACCAGGCTAAAAGGCCACCAGATCTCGGTACCAACAATTTAGACACTGGTCTTATAGAAATTAAAAATTTTGCAATAAAACTAGATCAGCAACAGGTTTTGCTACCCCAAAAACCTGTAAAGTTTTTGGGGGCAGTCTACACTGGGTTGATCATGTCGAAACAGTTTGTAAGGAACAGGATAACGGTTATTAAGCTCTTTTAAAGCTCAAACATGCAGTCGATAAAGAAACCTCTACTCTACTATTATTTACAAATTCTCTGAATTCTTTCGGAGTCGGTTGTTGTTGTTGATGAGTCGAACTTGATGATGTTTCGCTAATCATCCTGTCGTCTTCTTCAGAGCTTGTTTGAAATTGGTTTACATTCTACCCTTTACCTGCTTGTATACTGTTTGAGAGACGCGTCGCTAGAGGAGTGGCATGAACATTATGTCCGATAATTAATCCCCAACTGACCATACTTGGTTGGTTGGTTGATTTTATAGTCGCAAGTTCAGTATTATGTTGCTATCTCTTTTTAAAGGAAATTTAAAATCTCAAACAGCAGCAACCTAGAAACAGTAGACCGATTTTTTTGTATACACTCAATATTCTTCAACGAACCTTTTTCCCGGAGGCTCTTTACTTAACGTTTTACATGTATCTCTTCGGGAGACATTAATAGGCTTGCATGGTTCGATTGAGTATACACATACTAGTCGTCGAATTGGAATATTCTGTTTTTCAACATGTATTCAACCATATTGGTTAGTTTTGTTGTTTTATTGTTTTATTGTTATTGTTGGTCGAGGATGTTTTGTATTTGTAACCAAAATTGCTTGGAGCTTCAGAATCACCTTGTCACCTGTTTTCATTTTTTGTGAGCAAAATCTGGAGTTGTTCTCCAACAGAGTTTGTTTCTCTTTTTTTTTTCAGTTCAGAAGTCAATTCTTCGGTAACTCTGTTGCTTTCGCGCAAAAGATTTTAAAAGGCGAACCCAAATTTTCGCTTCTAGGTGGATTTCTCTGATTCAGCAAATCTGCTTGTATACCATCGGTTTTTCAAATTGCTCGTACTTTTGCGATAATACATTCGACTGGCGATGATGCGTGGTGGTAGATTTGCCATTCATGTGAAAATTTTTTGACCTCTCTCGAATTGTAAGGTTGTTGGTATTGCTGCAAAATTTTCTTGAATTTCATTCAACAATTTCCGATGTCCACCGATAGTCATTATGGTGGTGATTGTCAGAAACTTGAATAGATCCTTCTGATCTTAACAAGCAGATTCAACCAATGGAGAAAAACACTTCACTTGGCAAGATTGTGCCAACAGAAGCAAACTCTGAAACGTTATTTTAATTGTTTAAGTAACTCATAATATTTAGAGGTTATGCTTAACTGTTTTTATTTCTGTGAAACTATTCTATTTGCTAGTTTTTTATTCTGTTTCGTGAATGAATTTATGAAACACTTCGTGAATTTGTTTGAGGAGATAGCCAATCATGTATTAATTTATTGTCAAAACAGGGTCGTTTGTTAGGTTATAATAATAACCTTGCTTTTTCGACTAGTCTTCTATTTGTTAGTTTTCTAATTATGTTTCGTTAATAAATTTATGAAAAATGTAAAATTGATGAGTATTTTATATCAAAGTGAATCATGAATTAATTCGTTGTTAATATTAAACTTGCGCTTGGTTTATAATAATAACTTAACCTTGCTTTTTTTACTTTGCTTTTATTTGCTAGTTTTCTAATTCTCTTTCGTGAATAAAATTATGAAGAAACTTCGAATTATGAATTAATTTATTGTCGGCGCCAAAATAGGTCCGCATCATGTCAGATTCTCTCTTTTTGAGAGGTTTTGCGACCATTTTTTGAATTATATTTTATTAGATGTCGCAAGTTATGGTGTTCTCTCCAGAACATGGAGGGTCGAAGTGCCTAATTGAATGTAAGTTGTCTTCTCCCTCAATTACCTCGCAATCCCGTTGCGTCAACTCCAGAAAGGAGGATATGCTGACGGCTTCCGGATCCAGTAGGGAAAGAGAACTCTTCCTCATCCACTTCCTCCTGTTCTCCTGCATCTTCTGCTTCTCCAGCTGCTGCTGTTGGATCCTCTTCTTGGTAGCCTCGTCCAGTTCCTCGAATAGCAGCTCTTCGGACGGTGGCAGCAGCGTTCTTTTGGAAAGGAACGCGTCCATGGTTTCCAGGACCGGAAGTTTCTTCTTCCGGTTGTTGTTTTTGAAAAAATCGTCCCCGGAACTGTCCTCTTCGTTCTACAGAGTTTTGAGTATTATGTAAAATTTCGATATGAAAACTATATTTCTATAGTCGAGCTACGCAATAGTTTCTGGGTTAAATTACTTAATAACTAAACTACATCTAAGGTACATAGTCTTCCGTGCTATCTTCGAAGTCTTGGTAGTTGTTTTTTCCATCCCACGTCGTATCTTACTATCGAATGTCCCTAAAAAACCTGTTAGAGGCTTGACGGTACACTCTGAGTATTACATGTTGTAAAGTCGATTAAAATTACTTCCATATTGAAAAGTTGCTTGATATAGTTTTCTTTGCCTGCCAAAAAAATATTAAGATTAATTTACGGGATACCCTGTATAAATTTTTTTAACAGTTTCGGGGCTCGTTCTTTTCAGATCAAATACTTCTTCGTGAGAAAACAATTTGTTTGGCGCACTCTGTATAGATCGCGTCATAGGAATTTTGAAAACCATAAGAGTTATAAGGTAGCTCAAGTTAAATATCGTTTTTTTCCTTTTTTGGAGCATGAAAATACAAATTTATCTTGCTTTAAAAATTTTTAATAATAAATTTTCTGAAAATATTTATACTGTTTATATGTGGTTATTATTGTCATTTTTGGGGAGTTTGAGGTACTTCCTGAAATTGAATGGTATAGTTTGGTAACTGTCAAGTTACAGGGGGTTTTAGAAAAGTTTGCACATATGGGGTCTATAGACACCAGACTAATTTCCAAATTAATTGATATCTCACATCTATAATAATAATATCTTTAGTTTTTTCCTCATGATGCAAAATATGTTTAAATGGAGTTTCAAAAAAATAATGTGTGAAACGGTTTCAAAAAATAAATGTCCATGAACGTAAGTGTTGTCAATTTTTACGATTTTTATTTTTTCGCTTAAAAACGAGACAAGATACGAAAACAAATAAAAAAGTTGTAGTTTTAGTGGCTTTTTCAAAACAAATATCGAAAATTGCAATTGGCAATACTATTTGTTAGCATTTTAAACAAAAATTTCATATATTTGTTTTTTTTTATTTTTTTTTTGCATGACAAATATCTTGACAGTTTTGAAAGAAATAAAAATAAATAAACAAAACCGTAACTTATGCGAACACCACAGCTTATAAAAATATGTATCCCAGTTATTAAAAATACTTAAGTAGAAAATTATTTTTTGAAAAAAATAAAAATAAATTAATACGATCGCAAATTATGCAGCGTCCACAAAAATGAACCCTAATGTTTAAAAATACTTAAGTAGCTAATTATTTTTTGAAAGAAATAAAAATAAACAAAATCGTAACTTATGCGGACACCACAGCTTATAAAAATATGTATCCCAGTTATTAAAAATACTTAAGTAGAAAATTATTTTTTGAAAAAAATAAAAATAAATTAATACGATCGCAAATTATGCAGCGTCCACAAAAATGAACCCTAATGTTTAAAAATACTTAAGTAGCTAATTATTTTTTGAAATAAATAAAAATAAACAAAATCGTAACTTATGCGGACACCACAGCTTATAAAAATATGTATCCCAGTGATTAAAAATACTTAAGTAGCAAATTATTTTTTGAAAAAAATAAAAATAAATTAATACGATCGCAAATTATGCAGCGTCCACAAAAATGAACCCTAATGTTTAAAAATACTTAAGTAGCTAATTATTTTTTGAAAGAAATAAAAATAAACAAAATCGTAACTTATGCGGACACCACAGCTTATAAAAATATGTATCCCAGTGATTAAAAATACTTAAGTAGCAAATTATTTTTTGAAAAAAATAAAAATAAATTAATACGATCGCAAATTATGCAGCGTCCACAAAAATGAACCCTAATGTTTAAAAATACTTAAGTAGCTAATTATTTTTTGAAATAAATAAAAATAAACAAAATCGTAACTTATGCGGACACCACACCTTATAAAAATATGTATCCCAGTGATTAAAAATACTTAAGTAGCAAATTATTTTTTGAAAAAAATAAAAATAAATTAATACGATCGCAAATTATGCAGCGTCCACAAAAATGAACCCTAATGTTTAAAAATACTTAAGTAGCTAATTATTTTTTGAAAGAAATAAAAATAAACAAAATCGTAACTTATGCGGACACCACAGCTTATAAAAATATGTATCCCAGTGATTAAAAATACTTAAGTAGCAAATTATTTTTTGAAAAAAATAAAAATAAATTAATACGATCGCAAATTATGCAGCGTCCACAAAAATGAACCCTAATGTTTAAAAATACTTAAGTAGCTAATTATTTTTTGAAATAAATAAAAATAAACAAAATCGTAACTTATGCGGACACCACAGCTTATAAAAATATGTATCCCAGTGATTAAAAATACTTAAGTAGCAAATTATTTTTTGAAAAAAATAAAAATAAATTAATACGATCGCAAATTATGCAGCGTCCACAAAAATGAACCCTAATGTTTAAAAATACTTAAGTAGCTAATTATTTTTTGAAAGAAATAAAAATAAACAAAATCGTAACTTATGCGGACACCACAGCTTATAAAAATATGTATCCCAGTGATTAAAAATACTTAAGTAGCAAATTATTTTTTGAAAAAAATAAAAATAAATTAATACGATCGCAAATTATGCAGCGTCCACAAAAATGAACCCTAATGTTTAAAAATACTTAAGTAGCTAATTATTTTTTGAAAGAAATAAAAATAAACAAAATCGTAACTTATGCGGACACCACAGCTTATAAAAATATGTATCCCAGTGATTAAAAATACTTAAGTAGCAAATTATTTTTTGAAAAAAATAAAAATAAATTAATACGATCGCAAATTATGCAGCGTCCACAAAAATGAACCCTAATGTTTAAAAATACTTAAGTAGCTAATTATTTTTTGAAATAAATAAAAATAAACAAAATCGTAACTTATGCGGACACCACACCTTATAAAAATATGTATCCCAGTGATTAAAAATACTTAAGTAGCAAATTATTTTTTGAAAAAAATAAAAATAAATTAATACGATCGCAAATTATGCAGCGTCCACAAAAATGAACCCTAATGTTTAAAAATACTTAAGTAGCTAATTATTTTTTGAAAGAAATAAAAATAAACAAAATCGTAACTTATGCGGACACCACAGCTTATAAAAATATGTATCCCAGTGATTAAAAATACTTAAGTAGCAAATTATTTTTTGAAAAAAATAAAAATAAATTAATACGATCGCAAATTATGCAGCGTCCACAAAAATGAACCCTAATGTTTAAAAATACTTAAGTAGCTAATTATTTTTTGAAATAAATAAAAATAAACAAAATCGTAACTTATGCGGACACCACACCTTATAAAAATATGTATCCCAGTGATTAAAAATACTTAAGTAGCAAATTATTTTTTGAAAAAAATAAAAATAAATTAATACGATCGCAAATTATGCAGCGTCCACAAAAATGAACCCTAATGTTTAAAAATACTTAAGTAGCTAATTATTTTTTGAAATAAATAAAAATAAACAAAATCGTAACTTATGCGGACACCACAGCTTATAAAAATATGTATCCCAGTGATTAAAAATACTTAAGTAGCAAATTATTTTTTGAAAAAAATAAAAATAAATTAATACAATCGCAAATTATGCAGCGTCCACAAAAATGAACCCTAATGTTTAAAAATACTTAAGTAGCTAATTATTTTTTGAAATAAATAAAAATAAACAAAATCGTAACTTATGCGGACACCACACCTTATAAAAATATGTATCCCAGTGATTAAAAATACTTAAGTAGCAAATTATTTTTTGAAAAAAATAAAAATAAATTAATACGATCGCAAATTATGCAGCGTCCACAAAAATGAACCCTAATGTTTAAAAATACTTAAGTAGCTAATTATTTTTTGAAATAAATAAAAATAAACAAAATCGTAACTTATGCGCACACCACAGCTTATAAAAATATGTATCCCAGTGATTAAAAATACTTAAGTAGCAAATTATTTTTTGAAAAAAATAAAAATAAATTAATACGATCGCAAATTATGCAGCGTCCACAAAAATGAACCCTAATGTTTAAAAATACTTAAGTAGCTAATTATTTTTTGAAATAAATAAAAATAAACAAAATCGTAACTTATGCGGACACCACAGCTTATAAAAATATGTATCCCAGTGATTAAAAATACTTAAGTAGCAAATTATTTTTTGAAAAAAATAAAAATAAATTAATACGATCGCAAATTATGCAGCGTCCACAAAAATGAACCCTAATGTTTAAAAATACTTAAGTAGCTAATTATTTTTTGAAAGAAATAAAAATAAACAAAATCGTAACTTATGCGGACACCACAGCTTATAAAAATATGTATCCCAGTTATTAAAAATACTTAAGTAGAAAATTATTTTTTGAAAAAAATAAAAATAAATTAATACGATCGCAAATTATGCAGCGTCCACAAAAATGAACCCTAATGTTTAAAAATACTTAAGTAGCTAATTATTTTTTGAAATAAATAAAAATAAACAAAATCGTAACTTATGCGGACACCACAGCTTATAAAAATATGTATCGCAGTGATTAAAAATACTTAAGTAGCAAATTATTTTTTGAAAAAAATAAAAATAAATTAATACAATCGCAAATTATGCAGCGTCCACAAAAATGAACCCTAATGTTTAAAAATACTTAAGTAGCTAATTATTTTTTGAAATAAATAAAAATAAACAAAATCGTAACTTATGCGGACACCACAGCTTATAAAAATATGTATCCCAGTTATTAAAAATACTTAAATAGAAAATTATTTTATGATAAATAAATAAATAAATTACTTAAAATACTTATGTACCGAATTATTTTTTGAAAAAATAAAAATAAATAAACAAAACCGCAAATTGTGCAAACAGCTTAGAAAAATATGTAGGTATCCCAGTGATTGAAAAACTTAATAAATTATTGTCTTGTTTATTATAGTTATTATAAATACTTGTGTATCCAATATTTTTTTTTATTAAAAAAATATAATCGCAAATGATGTAAAAACACCACTGCTTATAAAAAAAATGTATCCCAGTGATTAAGTAGACTAATCTATGTTTACCATATTTTTTCCCATTCTTTGTAGTAAAAAAATGAAGTTGGAAATACCTCAATCCTCTCAGAATTAATGCAGTCTACAGTTTTGGCTACCAAATTGGTACACGATTCGGGCAAAAATTGACGATGAAAATGATTCTCGAATAAAAAACAACGCAATTTTGAACATGCTTTATTGACAACAAGAAGACATATTGAAAAAATATGCCACTAAAATAAATTATGCACACATATATTATATATATTTTTTTCACTCTCAATAACCTTTATAAAAGATTATATAAAATTAATTAATATCACTAACAGTTTTATTATTGCCGTAAAATAAGAACCGATATTTACAAAACGGAAGTAATCTATGACACTCTTAGGTAATAACATTTAGAATAACATTTACGAGGGGTTGTTGATATATTTCAGCTACGCAAAAATTGTTTTTGACATTGACGCATTTCGTTGGTTATATTTTTCAGGCGAATCGTTGGGGAATTACTCTTTACAGCGGTGTACTTATCCTATAACGGAGTGAAGTTACATAAATATTGTCGCTTACGTCATATATTTTCTATCCTTTTAACAACTAAACGTTAACATCGATTAAACTACTTCAATAAAATTTTCGTGATGCAACAAACAACTAGATTTTGTCTTTGACTAAATGTTTTATAAATAGTTTGACACTTCAATTAGTATGAAGGCAGTATTTCATATTATATCCTGCATACTTTTTAGAGAGAACGGAAAACTTCTAGAAAATTAAAAAGCACCAGACCATTCTCCCCCCCCCCCACAATTCCTATGAAATACTCTCAATAATCTTCGGGTTTTACGTAAAGAAGGCAAAAACCCAGTGAGGCACTTTGTCGAAATATTTTAGGAGATGGGAAACCGTTCGCCCTAGAAATACCGTAATAATCGGGAAGTTTCGGTCGCCTTTCCGCCCTTCCTTCTAATATGTGATGCAAAAAGGCTAAATGTGGGAACGAAAACCTACAAAGTGAATCCGGTAAATCACAAACGCAAGAGAATCGTTTAGGGAATTTCTTTCGATTCTTCTAGAATTTTTTGGAATTCCACTGAAAATAATTGCCGAATTCCTTGAGATTCTACTGAAAACATTTGCGGAATTCCTCTTAAATTAGTTTAGGAATTTTTTAGGATCCCACTGAAAATATTTGAGGAATTTCTTGGGGTCAGAAACGAAAAAATCCTGCAAAACCAAAATGTTTTAAATTAGAGCAACAGTCATCAGGAAGAAACGTGAAGAAAAAGAAGAGCACTGAAACGATATTAAAATATCATTAAGAGTAATCCATTCGGAGGGGATGCTAGAGCTTGAGACGCGCCATCTACCAGCTACGACAACATTAACGCTAGGAATAACCGAAAATTTTTTTGACATTTAGAATTTACAGTAATTCTTGGTGTTTCGAGTTTTTTGCAAGTCGACATTTTTAGTTTTCCATTTCGGTTTAAAAATTTGTAAATACGTGGAATGTAAGATCATAAAATAGAGAGCATCTTTCTTGATCACAGCCTTCGCTGTCGAGCTCGGACAAAATTCGACTTGGGTCTTTCGCACGCGTACCAAAAATAAAACGATCTGGGGATTTGGCAGTAGTAAAAGATAACTTTGTTCTTTTTTTTCCCTGAATCTATTGTACTTGCGCTTTCGCCGACTAGACTTTTCAAGTTAGGAACCAAACTCGAGCGGACATTTTGAGCGCTCTCGAAACACTTTACACCATCGTCAGTCGGTTAGGAAGTAATCGTTAAAAGTAAACCGCGAGAGGGTAAATCGCAGAGGGAATGGTCCTTTAGAGTTCCTCTAGAAGTATTTGCGACATTCTTCTGCAATTTCTTGGGATTCTTTTAGAATTCTTCCTTGAGATTCCCTTTGTAATAGTCGGAAACTATGCGGGGAATTCTTGGGGATTTCCACAGAATTTTTTTTGCGGAATTCCTTGGGATTCTTGTAGAATTTTTATGGACTCTACTAGAATCCTTTGCGGAATTAGTTACGATGCCTCTATAATTCTTTGGAGAATTCTTCTGGCATTCCACAAAAAATATTTTAGAAATACTTTGAGATTATTCTATAATTCTTTGGGATTTTTCTAAAATAATCTGAAAAAAAATCCTTTGGAAAATTCTTCTGGACCTTTACAAAAAATATTTGCGAAATCCCTGGGGAGTCTAGTAGAATTTCTCTAAATTCTACAAAAAATATTTGAAAAATTCCTTTGTATTCTTCTAAATTTTTTTGGAGAATTTTTCTAGAATTAAACAAAAACTATTTGCGAAATTCCCTTGGGATTCTTCTAGAATTCGTTGCAGAATCATGGAGATTCCCTTAGAAATGTCGGGAAATAATGTGGGGAATTCTTATGGAATTCCACGGACATTTTTTTGCGGAATTGTTCTGGATTCCTCTAAAATTCTTCTGGAATTCCACAAAACATAATTGCGAAATCCCATGGGATTCTAGTAGAATTTCTCCAAATTCTACAAAAAATATTTGAAATTCCTTGGGATTTTTCTGGAATTTTTTACAGAATCCTACTGGAATAATTTGCGGAATTCCTTCGCGCTCTATACCGGAACACCCCTTTGCGGTTTACCCCTCGGGAAACGATAAAACGGTGATATAAAAATAAATTTGCCATTTACATTTTACAAGAGGTGACGTAGTACTATTATTTTATTTCTGAGAAATCACAATGCGGTTCGCAATATTATAAAAATAAATCTTAACAAAATAATCGCGATACAACGTTCGACGTTCGCATTAACAAATACGCTAACATTTTTTTGATATGTCCTATTAAATTCTACATTTGGTAATTTAACCCAGAAAAAAATTGAGCCTACGACGTGATAAAACTCTAAATATTAAGAACAACTATCAAAAGCGGAGCTCTCTAATTAAGATCCTTATTCTAGACAGTTCAGTCAGTTTGCTACAACGACTCATCGTTTCGACTTGGAGGGGGCCAAGCAAATGTAGCCCGCCCTTATGTCGAAACCGCTTACCAATAAGTTCATCAGCACGCTATCGCTGGGTTGCGATACGCAGGCCGCTTTCTGGTTTCCGGTGTCCAGCAACCAATTGCTTTTGCCTTTCGGCCTGCCCCGATGATGGTTGTTGGACATGAGCTGGTGTAACAGTTCCGACGACATTTTCTCTTTCGGCTGTTCGTTTTTGCTTCGCTTACTTTGATGATCGTAATTGTTCACGTGCGACCTCTTAATACTAGCACTCCTTTCTACAACTTTATTACCGTCCAGTCTGACACTGTCCACTTCCATTTTAACCGGACTAGTTTTTGTGCTCCAATTGCGATTTGTACCTGAAAAAATTCCAAAGGTTAGGTGTTGACCGTAAGCATCGCGTGCTATTTAAATATAGTAATTTTAAAATGGGACTGGCGACACCACTTTGTAATTGACGATTCAGAGATGGCAGCACCATGAAACATGACGATCATTTTTGTGTTCTTTGTTTTTTGTCAACTATTGATGGAGGAAGGAATTTACAGAAAAAATGCCTCGTTTGTGATTGTTGGTGTTGTCATTTCGCTGCAACCGATATCGTATTGCGTCAAAGGAAAGGCATTAAACAGCACTTTTTTACATTATGCTTTCGCAAAGAATTCTAAAGGAATTTCGTAAAGAATGCTCGAGGAATCCGAAGAGAATTCTGGAAAGATTCCAACAAATTCCGCAAAGAATTCTAGGATTCCAAGGATTCTAGAGGAACTCACCGGAATTCCTCAAAGAATTCTGAAGGGATCCCACAAGGAATTCTAGAAGGAATCCTAAAGAATTCCTGAAAGAAAACTGTAGAAACACCCTGATTATATAACAAAATAAAATTTTAAAAGTATAAGTGAATCCAAACAACTTTTGCATTTATGTTTTTTTTTTGGTAATTAACAAACGTAAAATACAAAACACGTTAAATGAATTAAATAGCAATCAACACAAAGTATATAATGAAACCGTAAAAAAAATCTATACATTGTAAGAAATGGTTGTGAGTTTCATGGTTACAATTGAATTGGTTGTTCCAGAATATAGGTGGTATGTTAGAGTAAAATTTCTTTTTGTAGAATTGTCAAAAGTGATATTTTTCTAATAATTTTGAAAGCTAATAGTCGATTTCCAAGAAAAAAAACGCATCTTTTTTTGTAAAATCGCTACCAATGTTACTGTTAGATATATATATGGCAACGCTGCGCAGAACCGACTTTCAATTTTTGGGGTTAAGGTAAGTGCCTTTTTCCGATTCAACAAGAAATTTCTGTAAACCGGCTTATTTCAAACGGAACAGAACATTTTGAATTTTTGTGTGAAATTCTAAACATAGTTTATGTAGAATATCCTGTATCTACGTCTAACCGTTTATCAAATATTTTACTTTGGAAAAAAATTGCATCTCCGGCTTAACTAACTTTGAACACGGAAATTTTTATAATTTCTGAAAATTTGATCCTCATATTTGGCAAAAAGAGGCTTAAGTTCATGTTTTTGTTGTTCTCAACTTTTATACAGGGTGTCCGAAATTAGGCCGATTTTGCAAATATTTAACACATATCTAAACGATTTTGCAGATGTCACCGAAGACAAATACTTTTTAGGTTATGTGGAAAATGTTTGTATTAAGATGTTTTTTTGGTTCATTGTTTAACATACGTAGTTAGCCATTTCGGTGATAATTCGTAGTTTTCTTTCGAAAAAACAATTCAATTAATGCCAAATAGAAAAAAAAGCAGAGAAAATATTTTTTCCGACATTATTTTAAGCCTTATATCCTATATCCTTAAAAATGCCCAGTGTATCATTAGTTAAGTGAACACTCCAAAAAATACAAAGGAAACATACCAAATAGTCACGCAAATATTTATTTAATCACATATTGGATTTTTTAATATTAATGTGTTTGTTATTAAAGTACTAAAAACTCAAAATTTTATAAACAATAATGTTTAGACTTTTATATATACGTGGTGTTCCCTTTAAAGGAAGCAAGTTGACAGCAGCTAGCTGAACCGGAAGTGACAGGACGTTGAAAATATTTAAAAAAACACTTGGCACTCACTTTAACCCCAAAATTTACATCTTATTGACCTTTCAATGAACTGGTTGGGTGGAAATTTCTGTATTTGAATTTTTTATTTATTTATTATAGTTATTTATATTGAGCGTTACGTCGTCGTCGTGTCGTTCTGGGGATCAAATGCAAAATAAATTGTACCTTTTTTATTAATACTCACTCTTAATGTTATTGTTGAATATTTCCAAATTGTTGGTTTTATCGATTATCCCGCCGCCGTGATCGTTCGCTCTGAGCGAATGTTTATTGACGGACGACGACAATAATTGCGCCAAATTTGAATTACTCTCCGGAATTTCGCCGCCATTTTTCTCGTTATCGTTCCACATGATATCGCTCGAGAATAGCAACGGTAAATCATCGCCCAGCGGTATGTAAGGGCTCTTGCCCATGAGATCTTGGTCGTCGTCCATTTGCAAGTTGATAAACGTCGACATTTGATCTTCGTCCGATAATGAGCCGTTCGGGCTACATAAAGACGGAAGACTACACTCCGGACTCTAAAAAAAAACGCAAATCATTTGATAAATCAAGAGAGAAGTAAAGAGAAAGCTAATAAAAAGAGAGACGTCCTAAATTTGAACGAATTGAGTTGCGACTTACGCATGCCTTTCGGTCTTTATCCGTACAAGTTGGGACAGACGAAAGAAGAGGGAACGTCAGCTGTTTATTGATCGGAATGAATTCGGGATTGAAGAGGAAAACCGGAAGACTCCCTTCCGCATTTTAAAACAAAATACCCGTTTTTATTGTTATTCTTTGTAACTGTTCATTTTGAGTCATATTGAGGAACAACGATCAGGTTATTTTATGGTTAAAGATTTTGTATTCCTTTTATATAATTCCGGATTTAGTTTCCAGATTTCTACCTTGGGAATAAATAAATCACTTTCCTTTTACCCGTCAACATTGATATAATTAAAAAATACAACAAAATTAGGTTGTTTTTGCCAAACATCGAAAAATTTTACTGGAGTAGGTAGTTTTTTTTTCGTTTTCTACAAATGTGCCGATTTCCAAAAAAAAAACTTCAACTTTTTCTCGTTTTTTTCCAACTTAATTTTTTATTGGTAGTCTTGAAATATATATATACAAGGTTTTTCACCCAACTCCTTCATTATGGTTATGGTTTGAATATGGTTCGGAATAGGTATAGGCAACCTTATTGCAGTTTAATAGAGAAATGAGTCCTGGACTTGACGACACATTTGAAAAAAAATTTTAGAGACTTTGAAAATGCCAAACTTTGAGGAGTAATTTTCGACACCCTGTATAAAATTAGACACCAACAATCACAAAAACGTAAACTTTTTTCAACATTTTAAAATAAGAGGATCAAATTGTCATTTTTTTTTTATGTCAAATATTTCAAAAACGCCTAGATATAGGCATAAAACGCCGGAGGTGAAATGACTTTAACCGCAAAAATTGAAAGGCTCTTCTCTCTTCCCTGATAAATTTTTAACGAATGGATTGGATGGAAAACCCTGTATATTTACTCTGTTACTGAAATATCTGAATACGAAAATAAATTTTGAAGCCAAATAAAATTTAGTTGATTGTATGTGTTATGTCATTTTTAACAGTCACGCTAACTAGAGATAAAGATGCCAGTTTTTAATATCCCTTATCGTTTGGTTATGTTATATTTTACGACTCTTGATGTAGAATCTAAGTATTATCAAAACTATTTTCTTCTTAATTGGGACACCTCGTAGACTGAGTATCTCAAAACATTTTTTTTTGCTTTAATTGTTTTTATACGCCTAATTAACAAGAACATTTAAACCATGAGAATCATTCAAAATAACATAATAATAACTCAATAGTTGAAAGAGTGAAGTTATAGTTATAGTTAGTACTCTTCTAAATTTTCCTACATTATTGCTATTAGTCTTGTATATTTTATGTTTAACAAAAACCCTTTGTGTTCCTTGATGAAAATTTCACCCTTTCGAGTTTGAAGTTTGAAGTAGTCCATAACTCGCTTAAAGTACAAGACAACCTTTGAAATACTTTTTTTTTTTTCAATTATCAATTTTATGGCGTATCCACGAGCAAAAGCAAAATATTGGGTGTTATATATTGTTGCAATCGCACAAAAACAATACTCGAACATATAGTCAGTCTACCCCATTTAATACCCCGAAATGTCCTTATTTTTCTTAAACACGCCACTGGATTCTACATAACAAGTTATAAAACTTTCTTGTTACATCTATAGTCCAGCTTTGCTAACTATTATTTTATTTTTCAACGATGTTGTGTCCTATGACCAAAACTGTCATTTTTATTTCGCTTTTCGTTGCGTTTAAAAAGGTGTAGGAACACAATGTACCAGCTATGTTCTGCTTAAGCGAGACGGGGATCCAGAAACGTGTCGTATATATCATAAAAGCCCTATATGACAAGAACGCAGCATACATGCAATACACGATAGTTCTGGCACAAACTGAACAAGACATGTTTGGACTCAAAATGTGGAAGCTGCGAATTTGGAATCAGGCCTACTTCTGAATAGGTTCAAATGCTGTCTGCTGATTGTGGATTCGACACGTTCATGATATAGAATCCAGGACAGTGTCCTGTCCTGTCCAAAACTAACTAGCAAAGGAGGCTCCGAGCCAGAAATCAAGAGAAGGATTGGAATGGCAAAAGAAGCTTTGCGTAGACTGGCTAAGATGTGGAAAGACCACAACATTTAGGAAATGACCAAGATGAGACTTCTCAAACCGTTAATATTCTCCGTCGCAACTTATAGGTTGGAATATTGGACATTAAATGCAGCATGCTGCAGGAGAATAGAAGCGTTTGAAATGATATGCTACCGCAGCATGTTAAGGATCCCTTGGACAGCGCCCAGAACAAATATTCGGGATCATGAAAGGCTGCTCTCAACAATCCAGAAGCGTATACTAAAATACTTTGGCCACGTGATACGGAAGTATGGTATGGAGATGATTGTGATCCAAGTGAAAGTGGACGGTAAAAGAACGCAGATCACCAGTTAGATTTATAGACCAGATCAAGGATCTTACCAACATGTCAGTAGCGGACGTAATGAGAACCTTAGAGGATAGAGAGGCATGGAGAAGGCTGGCACCATGAATAAGTCAGGACGCTCGGTATCGAGCAGGAACTGAAGAGCGAGAGAGAGAGAAATCGTTTTATTGTGTTTATTAGGGAACAGAGAGAGAGAGCTCCAATCTAACGAGAGGCGATAGTGACCGAGAAAGACTAAAAAAATATAAAATTATGAAAATGCAAGTTCGAAATCTGATGTATGATTTATATAGCAGTCTAACAATCAATGTAAAACTCTTCCAGTTTCGAAAGAAACTCTATAAAGACCGCAACCGAAGATTTTCAAATGAACAGAAAAACACAGAGCGGGTCGTCGTGTTCAATTTTTAAAGAAATTTAGTGAAAATTATATATCAGAATTTAGACAAGTGGTAAGTGGTTGAAAATCTTGGTCAGATGAGTTGGTAAAAAGTGTCAAGAGGTAATCGCTGCGTTTTCTGATTTGATTCATATGACCTTTCAACTAGCTTGGGATTTGACTATATCGGCATTAATAGAATACAAAACCTAAAAAATATTTTACTTACAAAAAAAATCTATAAAAACAACGAGAAAAAATTGCTCATGTAGGTGCTTTCCTTAAAAAGAATTTCTCCTAGTTCATGAGCCTGCCATTCAAAGAATAAACTCTCCAATTAGTGCTACATGGCTTTGGCCACGAGAGTAACAAAACAGCGCAACAGTCAACATGACCAAAGTTCCTCAAGTTTTAACAAGAACGATTAATATTACACAATAGATCCATATCTAATAACTATTTTTGAGTTCATCACTTTCATTCTAAGTATATGAGGTGTGTTCAAAAAGTAAGGTAACTATTATATGTGTATATAATACACTTGAGCCAACGTTTTTTTTCAATCCTCGAAGTACTTCTGGTAAGCACTTTCTGAGTTCTTTCAACGATTTTTTCTCCTCAATCGTTCCTAACCTCCTTCCTTTCACGGGTGTCTTGAGTTTTGGGATCAGAAAAAAGTTGCAGGGGGCCATATTCGGTGAATATGATGGCTGAGGCATGATTGTGGTTTTGCTTTTGGCCAAGAAGTTAGCCGCAAGCAACAATGAGTGAGCGAGCAAGTGCATTATTGTGATGCAAAATCCATGAATTGTTTTCCCACAATTCCGGACGTTTTCTTCCTATTACTTCTCGCAAACGGCGCATAACTTATTGACCCTACGACCTGGTGGTAAGAACTCTTGATATACTACGCCACGATAACCAAAGAAAACAGTAAGCAAAATCTTGACATTTGATCGAACTTGACGTGCTTTTTTTGGTCTTGACGTTTCTGGGTTCTTCCATTGGGACGACTGGGCTTTGGTTGCGACGTCATAACCATATACTCATGATTCGTCACCAGTTATGACCTCTTTGCACATATCAGGATCATCATTGACGTCGTTTAATAGCTCTTGGGCGATGCCCCTTCCACGGTACTTTTGTTCAAAATTAAGCAGCTTCGGAACAAATTTTGCATGGCACGAGCCAATAGAGATGCCGACTTCTTCAAAAACTTCTCTGATAGTCAGTCGACGATTTTTCAACACTATTTGTTTGCTCAAAATAGATTCACCATATGCCGTTGTCAACATTTCAAGTGTTCAGCATTCTTTTTCCATTTTTTACATAAAATTTTATACAAATTGTTTTTTTTTTTTTATTTGAAAGCAGAAAATCGCCAGGAATACGTTTAACGTTTCTATCTCACAAAAAAAAGTGAAAACTGAAGATCGAATGTACGTACAACTACAGAAGTCACCTTTCTTTTGGAACACACCTCGTATCCCCCCACGTTTAATAAATAGAGTAAAGCTGCGCATAAATCCGCCACACCGCCATTCCCTCACAACACAGTCAACACGCCCGACCTAGGAGAAATCCATCTGTTCGTCTCTCAGAGTTAAACAGTACTTTAAACACTTCGTATTGCAAACTTTATCTCACATAGGAAGAAGGTTATCAGTTGGCAAGCAAAGATCACTTTCAAACTGTCGCATTTCGTTATATTGAATCTTTCTGTTAAAAAGCATAGGACTCCCTTTTTTCATTAGTTCATGAGTAAAACAAACGGTCGACGTCGACTCACCTTCGAAAGATTTGGGGACAAGAGCTGTGGCGACGAATCCCTGTAGTCTCTGTAGGAAATGAATGGATCGGAAGGTTCGTCGTTCAAAAGCGGCACGAAATTGCTGTCCTTCAATAAAATATCATCAAGCATGTCGCCAAAGAACGGATGATCGTCGATGGGACATACGTCTCCCGCCACTGGAGCCAAATGCGTTAAATCTTCGGGTTCGTCTTTTAGCACTGCAACAACGGAAAAGAACATTTTCACAATGTCCATTCGATTAGGATGGCCAGTTTGTCAATATTTTTGGGAAAATCAAAATTCTTCGATTTTGGTATTTCCCATTCTCCGAACAAAGAAAAACATTCAAAAGTCTAGGGTTCCTTGTCTTAGAAAAACAATTGAAAATCTTCTCAATTCAAAATGCATAAAAAAGCTACCTGCTGTTTTGAGAAGCATTTCCTCGATATCATTTGCCTATTACATCAATAAGACACGAAGTAGTAGTTTTTCATATAGAAAGCCTTCTATTTAAGATTTCAATGTGGTAGTAGTGGTTTAAAATTGGGACACCCTATAGAATTTCAAAAAAAAAAATCATTTTGAACCTACAACAAAACTTTGACACCCTGTATCTGGAAAACAAAATAACTTTGACCCGTCTAAATTGCATCGAGAAATAACGGATAGCGGCGTGCAAATGGGAGTTTATGAAATTGGCCATTTATTCAGGATAGGTTTGAACCAAAGACTAACCAATAAAATAAAATAATTTTTGTTTTTAGGTGAGTGAAGTTTTCCCCTACGTCAAAACCCAAAACTCAAGCCCATAAGTTAGAACCATTAAAAATTTGAAATAAAATTTATACATATTTTAAACTTCATAAACGCGATCACTAAGACAAAACCTACTATTATGAAAGTGAAAGTGAGAAAAAAAATGAAAAAATTAATTCATGAAAAAACAAATTTTTGAAATAATTTAATAACACAAAAAGAAAAACTATTTATGAAACTAAAGCATCAAAATTTGCTTAGCTTCTTCCAAAGTACCAAAGTGGTTTTTAATTTAAGTATTTTTGGACCCTTAATAAAAGCACAACTTTCGAATTCCTCAGTGTCTTGTATTTTTTATTTTTTGGACCGATTGACACACTTAATAAACACACTTGGATAAATTTAGTTTTAAAAAGTTGTCAGTAAAGAAAATAGCGAAAATGACGAGGCCAAAACTATAAAAAAAACAATTAACATCTAGCAATTAATTAATTTAAAAGTTGCCTAATTAGAGAAAATGTTATTTAAGAAAATTCATAAAAAAATATTCTTTCTTGGGGTTTCGAAAAAAGAACTGTAATGTAATTCTGTTAATCTAATTTATTATTACTTATTATATAGTATTCAGGTTTCTAAAGCCGTAAGATATAGATATATAGATATAATTTTAAAAAAGAGTTTTTAAATTTTGAAAGAAAAACAAAACAAGTTAGACGTTAAAAAAAGATATTTCACTCCATCATTAAGTTAAAAATGAGGGCTTATTAAATCTAGTGTGACAAAAGAAACAATTGAAAGAATTGAATAAAACAAACAAAATTACGCTTTATGACACTAAAGCATCAAAATTGTCAAAGTATTTTCGTTTTACTGAAAGCGAAAAATTTATAACAGCTGCATTACGGCATTTATCTCTCTGCTCCGTTTATACAGAGCGTTTCGAAAAAAAAAAAAACTTTAATGTTATTTTTTTAATATTATAATAGCAGAAAAATTGAGGTTTAAGAATTAGGACGGAAAAACAAAACGAATTGGACGTTAAAAAAAAGATATTTCACTATATTATCCAATGTTACGTAAAATTTTTGGCATGCGAGGAGTATTTTTTTACGCACCCAGGACTATAAGCGGCCATGCTAATATTAGAAAATTCGTCTCCCGCGTTTGTGTGCGTTTGCTCCGATCAGCTGATCGACGACCTTGACATTGCTATTTTTAGCGTTCGGTTCGCATAAAAATTATCGGCCCGCCATTATTTCGCCAAATCGCTGGCAGCTCTAATACTTACGTACATCATCGCGAAAAAGCGAGGGATTATGCAATTATTATTGATCGTTTTGTTGTCGGTAATGTGGATAAACTATTAGGATCGAAGTTTCGAGAGGTGTGGTCTAAAAGTCTTGGGTATTGCGCAGATGACGTATCTCACTTTTATTATTTTTTTTTTTTTGACCTTTTGTTTGGTCGATTTAGTCTGCCAATGTTGTTAACGTTTGACGCACAGTACAACCGACTATAGATAATACAATATATTTTTTTTCATCTTGTTTAGCTCTACAGAAATAAAATTGTCAGCACCCAACTAGTTTTATACTGAGATTTTTTTCACGAAGTTGGTTCGGATATGGTGAGTGTAAATGCACCACTTTGATGTCAAACACTCGCCAAACTAAGTCACTAAGATTCTTAATGCCTTGGTATTTAAAACTAGAATTATAGTTACTTTTCAGTAGTTGCCGGCAAAATCCATTCACAAAAATGGATAGCGTTTCTAAACTTGTTTCTGCGACACGAATTATTAAAACTTATTGTTAAACTCGTAATCCGGAGTTGAAAATTTTGCTGAAATGTGTTAAAATATGACAATAACTTCTTATAATTGGTATTGGCGTAAGTAAAGGGGTTTTGTAGAAAGGACATGACACCACTTTTAAAATGAAGAACGTTGAAACCCTCTTCGTTTATGGATTGAGAAAGTTTGATCGTATATCAGAAAAAAAAATTGCGATGAAATGGCTTCAAATTAAATATGTGTCAATATTGAGTCGAAATATTCTTTAACAACGTACCTGAAAGGTTATCTAGTGTTTGGGTATGAAATTCACAATGCTCCTCTAAGGACGAAAAACATTTTGGATATGCCCCAGCATAATTTTTGTAAATTTTAACGCTGCTTTAGGCTAGTATTTAGGAAAAAATTTAAGGTCCTGAACAAATTATTATTTTACCCATAATGAAATTTTTAGACTCTTATTATTATACCTTATTATTATTATCTTAACCCATTGTGCCCCAGTGGTGCGTTAATACACCACCTATTCTATGATTTTTTTTGTCACATCCAGGAAATATTCTTGCACATCCATTTAGAAATTTTATTATTATCACTACTAAAGGACATAAAACCGTAGAAATCGCTAATTTATGTGTAAAGGAAAGATCTTATTCAAAAGTTAACAAAAGCGGTACATAGATTTCTATCACATTTTCAAGTAAATCCAAAATAGTAAAAAAAAATATTTTGGATTTGTATTGCCATTTTTGTTAAGTCTATAGCATGTAGATTACATCGCAGAAAACATACATTGGAAATATTATATTGATTATGCTTTATTTTTTGAAAATATTTACTGGTGCCTAAATGCACCACTGGTTTTATCTGTGAAACAAAACTTTATTATTGCAAGTCTAGACAAATCAGCGCATGTAGAATAAACATCCAACAATTAGCGTGTTCTTTAGTATTAGTTTGTGACTTGTGCAATGAACGTTACAGTTCGTAAAATATGGCAGTTCCGAGGTATTTGACTCAAAAGGAATTAGAGGCGGTTATGGAGGAGATCGTGATGGATGACGACAATAACAATGAAAGTCGTAAGTATTATTTGGATTTACGTATTCTGATGTATTGTAGCATTCCATTCCTTGCAAATTTATGCTAAAAATAACGTGAAAAAATATTTATAGAACATATTGCTGCGGTCTATATTCCACCCGACGTGCATACCTTGACTGACGAAGAAGATATGAACGACAACATAAATCTACAAGAGTTTGGGGAACCAACTGACATAGTTGGAATTTTCGAGTTACATACACCGACCGAATGATACAGCTGTCCTTCAACAGTCCTGTAGTTCATCAACTACTGAACCTAAATGGGACTCATCAGATGATGAAACCCTGGAATTCAAAAGAAGACGTATGCTTTCTGCAAACGACAGGATTGCTTCTATTGTCAAATGGAAGAAAGGTCAGATTGAGTACACTCACACATCTATATGAGATGAATTTAGATCATGTGAGGAACTAAAAAATAGGCTTTCTGGAAAAGTTCCCCTCGAAATATTTTTTATGTTTTTTGATGACGAAGTGATTGATTTGATTTTAAATGTTACATTGCTTTGCGACTTTTAAAAACTGAAAAAACAATTACTCAAAGAAATCTTGCACCTGCCATAGATGAAGTGCGTTATGATAATCAAGGTCACCTCATGATTGTTCACGCTAATAAACCCTGAAGGAGGCGTAGAATCTGCCACAGCCACACGATTTACGTTTGCAATAAGTGTAATGTGCATTTACATACCTCATGCTTTGTAAAATATCACCAAAAATGAAACCGGGTGTTACCAGTGGTGCTCACGCAACATAAAATATTATACGCTTTTTTGTATCAAATCAGGTTCTATTTGGAAAATAATCTACTTTTAATTGTTTTCTGTCGAATTTGAACTTTCTGTTCTATATTTATGTATACATTATTTGTTACATCATATGTGCCCCAAAACATCATTTAATGTTTTTTTCGAAGTGGTTCGTTTACGCACCCGTATTTTTTTGTAGGTTTCGAGTTTTTATTTTTTATTTTTTGACATATGTAATGTATTCTTAAGTGCAACAAAATAAATAATTTCAGAGTAAAAAGGATTTTTTTTATTTCTTTCTATGCTGTGTGGAACTATATTAGTTTGTATTAAGTAATTTTGTCTAAACCTTGTGAAATAATTTAAAATATCGCAATAAAGACTATTATTATTATTCTAAGAGGGAATAAAGGCATTGGATTGTGAAAGATGGAGTACATGTAATTGAAGTAGAAGAAAGAATGTTATTATTATTTCTTTGTACTCCACTGACTATTCGGAAAGTGATAACTAAAATTTACATACGAATGAGAATGAAAAATTACAAGTCGATTTCCATAATACAGAATTTTTAAAAGATTTTCGAGGCTATTTTGCATCGATCTACAACGTCAAAGTGACGTGCCGTGCCGTGAACAAAGTGACGTCGTACATTAACATATTTTTAAAACTTTCGAATGGGTTTTTCTGATTCACTCGTCAAATACTACGTCTCTAATCGCAATGAATATGTGGCTATATGCAGCTACATCAGGGGTACCGCAAGGCTCGATACTGGGGCCCTTCTTTAAAACATTTTTATAAATGATATAGGC